CATACTATTATTCTGACATTTCACATTCTTAAAATAAAGTGGTGATCCTAACTGACCTAAAACAGGGAATTTTTATTAGGATTAAATGTCAGGAATTGTGAAAAACTGAGTCTAAATGTATTTGGCTAAGATGTATGTAAAAACCTCAGACTTCAACTGAACATGAATTTACATGTCTGTATGTGTATATGTATGTATTTATATGTGTATGTATATGTGTGTATGTATGTGTATGTATGTAAAGTGAGGGAAAAAAATATTTGATCCACTGCTGATTTTGTACGTTTGCCCACTGACAATGAAATTATCAGTCTATAATTTTAATGGTAGGTTTATTTGAACAGTGAGAGACAGAATAACAACAAAAAAATCCAGAAAAACACATGTCAAAAAATGAGGGAAATAAGTATTTGACCCCCTCTCAATCAGAAAGATTTCTGGCTCCCAGGTGTCTTTTATACAGGTAACGAGCTGAGATTAGGAGCACACTCTTAAAGGGAGTGCTCCTAATCTCAGCTTGTTACCTGTTTAAAAGACACCTGTCCACAGAAGCATTCAATCAATCAGATTCCAAACTCTCCACCATGGCCAAGACCAAAGAGCTCTCCAAGGATGTCAGGGACAAGATTGTAGACCTACACAAGGCTGGAATGGGCTACAAGACCATCGCCAAGCAGCTCGGTGAGAAGGTGACAACAGAAACACAAAAGTCTGTCAATCTCCCTCGGTCTGGGGCTCCAAGATCTCACCTCGTGGAGTTGCAATGATCATGAGAACGGTGAGGAATCAGCCCAGAACTATACGGGAGGATCTTGTCAATGATCTCAAGGCAGCTGGGACCATAGTCACCAAGAAAACAATTGGTAACACACTACGCCCGCAATGTCCCCCTGCTCAAGAAAGCACATATACAGGGCCGTCTGAAGTTTGCCAATGAACATCTGAATGATTCAGAGGAGAACTGGGTGAAAGTGTTGTGGTCAGATGAGACCAAAATCGAGCTCTTTGGCATCAACTCAACTCGCCGTGTTTGGAGGAGGAGGAATGCTGCCTATGACCCCAAGAACACCATCCCCACCGTCAAATATGGAGGTGGATTCATTATGCTCTGGGGGTGTTTTTCTGCTAAGGGGACAGGACAACTTCACCGCATCTATAGGGACGATGGACGGGGCCATGTACCGTCAAATCTTGGGTGAGAACCTCCTTCACTCAGCCAGGGCATTGAAAATGGGTCGTGGATGGGTATTCCAGCATGACAATGACCCAAAACACACGGCCAAGGCAACAAAGTAGTGGCTCAAGAAGAAGCACATTAAGGTCCTGGAGTGGCCTAGCCAGTCTCCAGACCGTAATCCCATAGAAAATCTGTGGAGGGAGCTGAAGGTTCGAGTTGCCAAACGTCAGGCTCGAAACCTTAATGACTTGGAGAAGATCTGCAAAGAGGAGTGGGACAAAATCCCTCCTGAGATGTGTGCAAACCTGGTGGCCAACTACAAGAAACGTCTGACCTCTGTGATTGCCAACAAGGGTTTTGCCACCAAGTACTAAGTCATGTTTTGCAGAGGGGTCAAATACTTATTTCCCTCATTAAAATGCAAATCAATTCATAACATTTTTGACATGCATTTTTCTGGATTTTGTTGTTGTTATTCTGTCTCTCACTGTTCAAATAAACCTACCATTAAAATTATAGACTGATCATGTCTTTGTCAGAGGGCAAACATACAAAATCAGCAGGGGATCAAATACTTTTTTCCCTCACTGTATACATACACACACATACACATATACACATATACATACATACATACATACATACATACATTCATACATACATACATACATACATATACATACATACATACATACATACATACATACATACATACACATACATACATACATACACATACTTTGAGCTGTTCTTGCAATAATATGGACTTGGTCTTTTACCAGATAGAGCTATCTTCTGTGTACCTTGTCACAACACAGCTGATTGGCTCAAATGCATTAAGAAGGAATGAAATTCCACAAATTAACTTTAAAGAAGGCACACCTGTTAATTTAAATCCATTCCAGGTGACTACCTCATGAAGCTGGTTGAGAGAATGCCAAAAGTGGCTATTTAAAAATAACATATATTTTGTTTTGTTTAACACTTTTTTGGTTACTACATGATTCTGTATGTGTTGTTTCATAGTTTTGATGTCTTCACTATTATTCTACAATGTAAAAAATAGTAAAAATAAAGAAAAACCCTTGAATGAGTAGGTGTGTCCAAACTTTTGACTGGTGGTGTTTATATTTGCAAAATAATATATGGGGGATTGTAAGTGATGCAGAAAATTACATTGATGGAAGCTACAAACTATCTGCACTATTAAAGCTGATATACCCCCCCCCCCCCAAAAAAAATAAAAATAAGCAACGTTCAGTCTGGTTTAACAATGCTAAAGGGGACTTGCCTAAAGGTGGTCGAGCTGTAATGAGAAAAGTGTTCAGGTGAGCTAATATGCTCTTAAATGGATAGTTCAACCAAATTACAAAATGACACATTGGTTTCCTTACCCTGTAAGCAGTCAATGGACAAGGTATGACAGCAATCCATGATTTTTGTTTTATCTCCCTGGCACTGATTCCAAATGCAAACGTTTTAGCCATTCAAGTCATTGTACCGATATTAGAATTTTTTGCGCAACATGTACAAATGATCCCGAAAGCATCTAAAATTGATTGTGAAGCTCAACAAAGTCCCTTACAGTATAGATCATTTGAACATTATGCTCGAAAAATTATAATACTGGGACCATGACTTCAATGGGATTTGCGCCACACATTTTTAAATCATTAATGACTGGTCGCGTCTGACTGTGGCAACCAGGTTTTTGACCAGACTATATCTTCTGGTGGAATAATTACATTTTATGAATTTACTTTTCAAAATAATGGTTTTAATGAAAATATGTAATTCTTTGTTATTTACATTTTTTGGTAGCCATTTTATAAAAGCAATAAGGCACACAAGTCACTGCTGTATCATGAATATAGTCACAGGTAAATGGATTGATTGACCCTCCGCTTCGTGCCAGGCCGAAAAACGCCATTTACCTGTGACTGTGTTCATTATATCTCACTATTCATTATCACTATATTCCATTATATAGCACTCTCTTGTGCCTTATTGCTTAATGGTTACATTTCACTATTGTGATATATGCTGATGAGACCATGTTGAAAATTGTTACAGTCCCATTTCTCATTTTATTATCCCATTCTTAGATATGGACCTGGAATCAAAAATAAGAGTTATTTATAAATGTTATTTTAAGACCCTTAAACGATGTAATTACAATGTAATTACACAAAGAGAGAAACAATGTAACCACTATGCAGATTGACATGGTTACAAGGTACTTAACTGCTTGCAGCTCACTGCAAACAAACTCTCACTGCAGTGCTTATACAGTACCTATACCCCTTCTTGTGTCGTCATAATTCTAGGATGTAGGTTAAACCAATTAACTTGGGTTTGTTCGTAATCTAGTAATACCATTTTCTCATGAGTAATTGAATGCACCACTGAAGGTTTGAGTGTTGCCAAGCCATTGATGCAGAGTGCCTACATACACTAGCATTTAAAAGCTACTAAGCTACCACATACACTACATGTAAATACACATCTACCACACAATAAGAATTCAATTTCTGAGTAGGAACCAGTCGTCTCCATGATGATTAAGACCACTTTGGCTCAAGGTATCCTTGAAAACAACATATTCTGCATCAGCTTAAAAACAAGGTAGGGCCTATATTCAACATTTTGTACCCTGACCTTTCTTCCTCTCTTTTCTCTGTCTACCTTACACCTTACTCTCCAGTGACCCCCCAGGCTCTTATATACAGCCAGTCACAGGACTAAGTCCTCTCCACTAAGAGTCTGTGATTTGACCTATATAACCTGGGTGAGAGTTGGCACCTAGCTTCTGTCTGTCTGGTCTCTTTTATTAGGCCTCAGGGGTCAAGGTAAAGTCTAGGGGCCCCAACCAGGGCTTTGATACCTGTCGCAAAGGGGACCCAAACAGGGCTTTAATACCTGTCACAAATGGGACCCAAACAGGGCTTTCATACCTGTTGCAAAGGGGACCCAAACAGGGCTTTGATACCTGACGCAAAGGGGAACCAACCAGAGCTTTGATACCTGTCGCAAAGGGGACCCAAACAGGGCTTTGATACCTGTTACAAAGGGGACCCAAACAGGGCTTTGATACCTGTCGCAAAGGGGCCCCAAACAGGGATTTGATAACTGTCACAAAGGGGCCCCAAACAGGGCTTTGATACCTGCCACACAGGGCCCCCAAATACCACAAAAGGCTGTGTAAGGATGAATGTGTAAAAATACCACAGCATATGATGTGGGAACTACTGATGTTGGTTGGAACTAGTGTGTCACGGATTCAGCCGAGGCTGCTCCTCCTCCTTGCTCGGGCAGGCTTCGGCGTTCGTCGTCACCGGAGTACTAGCTGCTACCGATCTATGTTCTGTGTTCTACTTGTCTTGTCTTTATTGTTCACACCTGGTTCCCATTAGGTATTGATTACTTCTCTATTTAACCCTCTGGCTCCCACTGTATGTTGTGCGTGTTTGTTCATGTTTGGTTGTCGTCTGGTGAGCAGGTTTGTTTCCTCCCTGCGTGGAGGTTATGTTATTTACGTTACCTACGAGTAAAGTACTTTTTCGATTAGCTCTGTGTCCTGCGCCTGACTTCGTCCTACCGCATCACACTGACATCCTGACATAGTGAGGAAAACGTCTATATGAACACAAGATAAACTCACTTAGACAGTTTTTTTAGATTCTCTTTATTTTTCCTACATGAAATTCCCTCCTGTTCACTAATGTGTTTTAGTGTACATTCAATCTTACCTTGTGCTAATGTGGATGGATACATTTGGTGTAATCACAAATGACTAGACATTACCTGATTTCAAGTCTTCAGTGTGGGCCACTTCCTTATCCCTAAAACCACTATTCCTTTCCTCAGATTTATATTCTGGTTGTCCGAAGCGATCACACCCAGTATCCAGAGGTCGGATGTAGCTGGAGAGATGATCACTACAGTGCTGAAGATTTCGGAGAGACTGGGAGCACTGTCGGTCAACCGGACGGACAAGAGACTGTTCTGGGTCCAGTTCAGTCTGGAGGGAGAAAGTGCCATTGGATCATGTGACTACAATGGGAATGTTATCAATGTCATTGATCAGCCACTACGGTAAGCAGAATATGTAATTCTAGTTATTAAGTCACTAATTTGTAACTACAATGGTTCACTATGTTGACATATTCTAATGAGACCATGTTGCATTAGGGCAGCTATCTATATTTGGCACTAGAACAATATATAATTAGATATCACTTGTAGATCGGTATATATCATTGCTAACTTCTCAATATTCTTCCCACCAGGTCTCAGTCTTTGGGGATGTCTGTGTTCCTGGAGCAAGTCTATTACACTGATGTGACATCACGGACCATATGGTAATTCAGTAAGTACTCAGGGGGTGAGGCAGATAACGTCAACCTAAAGCAAATGACAAACCCCCCTATTGCTGTCAAGGTGGTACATCCCCTCAACCAGCCAATTGAAGACTCCATGCCTGTCTTTCCCGGTCAGAGTTCAAGGTCTGTTTCCTCATTCCTCAATAAATGTGGTCTTACTCCACATTGAGACGTACCATGAACTATTTTTTAAAAATCTGTTCTAAAACTGTTCTAAAACCTTGAACTCTGTTCTAAAACTATTTTCCAAGACCTTGAACTCTGTTCTAAAACTCAGTTCCAAGACCTTGAACTCTGTTCTAAAACTCTGTTCTAAAACCTTGAACTCTCTTCTAAAACTCTGTTCTAAAACCCTGAACTCTGTTCTAAAACCCTGACCTCTGTTCTAAAACCCTGAACTCTGTTCTAAAACTTTGAACTCTGTTCTAAAACTCTGTTCTAAAATTCTGTTCCAAGACATTGAACTCGGTTCTAAAATCCTGAACTCTGTTCTAAAACTCTGTTCTAAAACTTTGAACTCTGTTCTAAAACTCTGTTCTAAAACTCTGTTCCAAGACATTGAACTCGGTTCTAAAATCCTGAACTCTGTTCTAAAACTCTGTTCCAAACCTTTAACTTTGTCCTAAAACTCTGTTCTAAAACTATGTTACAAAACTCTGAACTCTGTTCTAAAACTATTTTTCAAAACCTTGAACTCTGTTCTAAAACTCTGTTCCAAAACCTTCAACTCTGTTCTAAAACTCTGTACTAAAACCTTGAGCTCTGTTCTAAAACTATTTTCCAAAACCATGAACTCTGTTCTAAACCTGTTCTATCTATAACCGTTTCAATGCAGAGTGGGATGGTCGTACAGGAGAATGTGTGAATGTTTGCTCCAACCCTGCTGAGCAGGAGATCTGCCAGTGCACTGAAGGTTTTGACATTAGCAAACACGGGAACTACTGTGAAGGTATGATATCCATTAGTTTAGCACCAATGCTGTGCTATGCTATATGATGTGATATTATGACATTTCAGTGTTACATATTTATTCTATTAATTATTAAGTGTGAAATGGATGATTACCTGGGATTACTAATAAATAATTTGACTAAACATACATTAATCACATCCTAGATGTCAATGAGTGTGGCCTGTGGGACCACGGCTGTTCCTTGGGCTGTGAGAACATTCCAGGCTCCTACTTTTGCACATGTCCCAAAGGTTACGCTCTGCTTCCTGATAGGAAGATCTGCCAAGGTAAGACAGTGCTGCTGAACCACTGATATGTGTCAAGAAAGGGATTACCCTTTAAGGTCTGTGCTGTTCCTTAACCAAAGGTGGTATTGTCTTGTTCATTTGGAAAGTATGGTTATTTACTCCCAAATGTATCTCTTGAAAATGCATTGATATTAATTCACATAAGCGACAAACACTTTGTTGTACATGTTGTGTGTTTAGACATGTATTTGTGTATCGGTGTACTTCACTAATACATATCTAGCGTTAAGCAATTGCCTCTGAGGTTCAAAATGGCTCCCTTGTCTCTGACCAGAGAGCGGAGGTATGTGAGGATCAGGCAGATGTGAGAGGAAGTCTGCCGGATTACACCTATGTGCCAGTCGTGTTAGAAGGGGCACAGCATTATACTAACCCCTGAAACAAGATGGCGGGTAACTGTACTTTAAGGACCTGCATTGGCATGTTTGTTGTCAGTGCTCTAAACATACTCATAGTTGCTTGAAAACATATAGAGGTACATGTTGAGATAATGTATGGTGTTACCTGTCATTTGGGGCGACTGCTATGGAATTTGGCTCCGATAAATGTCTTAGAAGAGTCCTTTCATTTATCCTATTTGGATCCACTCTTTTGATAGTTCCCTTTTCTCCACTGGTCCAGATGACAAAGTTGTGAACCCAGTCGAACACAAGGCCTGAGATGCCTTTCTCAGACAAGTACAGCTTCTAAAAAGGATGCAGTACAGTTGTGGATCTAGAACCATTCATGTCATTGACTCAACCTCGCATGAAATAGAGATTAGCATATGGTCCACTGACAAATAGTAGGTAATACCGTGTCCATATTAGGACAGCCTCAGAGTCATAATACAGTGTCCATAATAGGACAGCATTTGACATTATACTTTACATTTTAGTCATTTAGCAGACGTTCTTATCCAGATCGACTTACAGTGCATTCATTTTAAGATAACTAAGAGAGACAAACGCAAATCACCATCATAGAAATCACATACACTCCCAGTCAAAAGTTTGGACAAACCTACTCATTCAAGGGTTTTTCTTTATTTTTAATATTTTCTACATTGTAGAATAATAGTGAACACATCAAAACTATGAAATAAGACATATGGAATCATGTAGTAACCAGAAAAGTGTTAAACAAATCAAAATATATTTTAGATTTTAGATTCTTCAAAGTAGCCACACTACTTTCTCAACCAGCTTCATTAGGAATGCTTTTCGAACAGTCTTGAAGGAGTTCCCACATATGCTGAGCACTTGTTGGCTGCTTTTCCTTCACTCTGTGGTCCAACTCATCCCAAACCATCTCAATTGGGTTGAGGTCGGGTGATTGTGGAGGCCAGGTCATCTGATGCAGCACTCCATCACTCTCCTTCTTGGTAAAATAGCCCTTACACAGCCTGGAAGTGTTTTCCTGTTGAAAAACAAATGATAGTCCCACTAAGCGCAAACCTGATGGGATGGTGTATCGCTGCAGAATGCTGTGGTAGCCATGCTGGTTAATTGTGCCTTGAATTCTAAACAAATCACAGACACTGTCACCAGCAAAGCACCCCACACTATCACACCTCCTCCTGGTTGAGAGAATGCCAAGAGTGTGTAAAGCTGTCATCAAGGTAAAGGGTGGGTACTTTGAAGAATCTAAAATCTAAAATATATTTTGATTTGTTTAACACTTTTTTGATTACTACATGATTCCATATGTGTTATTTCATAGTTTTGATGTATTCACTATTATTCTACAATGTAGAAAATACTAAAAAATAAGAAACTCCCGAGTGGCGCAGTGGTCTAAGGCACTGCATCTCAGTGCTTGAGGTGTCACTACAGACCCCCTGGTTCGATTCCAGGCTGTATCACAACCGGCCGTGATTGGGAGTCCCATAGGGCGGCGCACAATTGGCCCAGCGTCGTCCGGGTTTGGCCGGTGTAGGCCGTCATTGTAAATAAGAATTTGTTCTTAACTGACTTGCCTAGTTAAATAAAGGTAAAAAATAAAACTTAAATGGGTAGGTGTGTCCAAATTTTTGACTGGTACTGTACATCTTCCTCAATAAGTAGCTATCAGCAAATGCAGTACTAGTAAGAAAAGACAAGTGTGAATGTTAGTTCAAGAAAGGAATTGTTGTTATTGTTTGTTTGTTTTTAGGGTGTTGTGGCATTAATCGAGACACTCTTTGAAGAGGGAGGTGACTGTAACTCTTGTCCTTATATGGGCACCGTAATGTTACAGTCTGTTTCATATTTTTTTAAGGTGAACTAGTAGTATGTGGATGCACCTGTCTCTGTGTTCCATCCATTGCTGCTTTGTAGATGACCCCTGCCTTTTTATTTGCCCAGTAAACTCTCTCCTCTGTGTAGTGGAAGTCCGGAAGAATCGAGTTGCCAACACTGGCCACAACCCTTTTGTTCTAATCGGTATATGGCCTTACCATGGCCGAAGATCAGCTCTGGAGCTTTCCAAAAGGAACAGAGATTCTCAATCATAGATGGTAGATAGCGTATAGTGCATGATAATGCTCATTATCCCATCACACAAAATATAAACCTGGAGGACTGTGATGTTTGGGATTTCAGAAGTGACCTACACCGGACCCACATCTTGGACCGGACGTGACCGGACGTGACGTAAGATTTGAAATGAAGTACTTCTAGAGAAATGTACTTTTCTAGAGAAACTGAAGGTGAGTACACAGTACATAGTAGTATTATGATGTGGCAGTTTGTGGTTGGTAGCTGTCCATGTGCTCTATACGCTCACATCGTTTCCTGGCTGACTCACTATTGCTATAGAATTAGCTACTTCATTGGCAGTCCCTTTTCAATGTGTGCTGCTCTGTGTTGATACCTTTGTTGAATCAATATTGCTGGCTAAAAGCCTCTTCATATGGCTCTAATGGGGTGGAGTTCAAGGCAGCTCTGGCTGCTTCCCAATTAAACAGTCATCTCTTAGCAACATGTGCTTTCACACTCTCCTTTCACATGGTGAATATCCTCATATGTCAGTGAAGACAGTCTTGGACAGTCTTGCTTGTACAATTTCTGATGTGTGAGATCTTTTGTATCTTTCAAGCAGAGTAATATTGATTCAAATGATAGAAAATGGTGAAAAAATGTTTAGCTTGTGAAAAGGTCCAAAACATGAATGCTAGTTGTGTTGTGTTGTGTTGTATTGTGGTGTGTTGTGTTGTTGTGTTGTGGTCTGTTGTGGTGTGGTGTGTTGTGTTGTTGTGTTGTATTGTGGTGAGTTGTATTTTGGTGTGTTGTGTTCTGGTGGCTTGTATTGTGGTGTGGTGTGGTGTATTGTGTTGTGGTGTGTTGTGGTGTGGTTTGTTGTGTTGTGTTGTATTGTGGTGTGTGGTGTTGTATTGTGGTGTGTGTTGGTGTGTGTGTATGGTGTGTTGTGGTGTGTTGTGTTCTGGTGGGTTGTATTGTGATGTGTTGTATTGTATTGTGCTGTGTTGTGGTGTGTTGTATTTTGGTGTGTTGTGGTGTGTTGTATTTTGTTCTGGTGGGTTGTGGTGTGGTTTGTTGTGTTGTGTGGTGTGTTTTGGTGTGTTGTGTTCTGGTGGGTTGTATTGTGCTGTTTTGTGTTGTGTTGTATTTTGGTGGATTGTATTGTGCTGTGGTGTGGTTTGTTGTATTGGGTTGTATTGTGGTGTGTTGTATTGGGGTGTGTTGTATTGTGTTGTGTTGTGTTGTGTTGTGGTGTGGTATATTTTGTTCTGGTGGGTTGTATTATGGTGTGTTGTGTTGTGTTATATTTTGGTGTGTTGTAGTGTGGTTTTTTGTATTGTGTTTTGGTGTGTTGTGTTCTGGTTGGTTGTATTGTGGTGTGTGTTGTATTTTTGTGTGTTGTGTTTTGGTGGGTTGTATTGTGGTGTGGTATTGTGTTTTGGTGTGTTGTACTGCGGTGTGTTGTATTTTGGTGGGTTGTATTGTGGTGTGTTGTGTTGTGTTGCATTTTGGTGGGTTGTATTTTTGTGTGGTGTGGTGTGTTGTGTTGCGTTGTATTGTGTTGTGTTGTATTTTGGTGTGTTGTGTTCTGGTGGGTTTTTTTTTTTGTTTGTGTGTTGTGTGTGTGTTTGTTGTGTTTGTTTTGTTGTGTGTGTGTGTGTTGTATTTTGGTGTGTTGTGTTCTGGTGTGTTGTATTGTGTTGTGTCGTGTCATGTCATGTTGTGTTGTATTGTATTGTGTTGTATTGTGTCTGTCGTGTCGTATTGTAGTGTGTTGTATTGTGTTGTGTTTTTTTTAATTCTAGGATGTAGGTTAAACCAATTAACTTGGGTTTGTTCGTAATCTAGTAATACCATTTTCTCATGAGTAATTGAATGCACCACTGAAGGTTTGAGTGTTGCCAAGCCATTGATGCAGAGTGCCTACATACACTAGCATTTAAAAGCTACTAAGCTACCACATACACTACATGTAAATACACATCTACCACACAATAAGAATTCAATTTCTGAGTAGGAACCAGTCGTCTCCATGATGATTAAGACCACTTTGGCTCAAGGTATCCTTGAAAACAACATATTCTGCATCAGCTTAAAAACAAGGTAGGGCCTATATTCAACATTTTGTACCCTGACCTTTCTTCCTCTCTTTTCTCTGTCTACCTTACACCTTACTCTCCAGTGACCCCCCAGGCTCTTATATACAGCCAGTCACAGGACTAAGTCCTCTCCACTAAGAGTCTGTGATTTGACCTATATAACCTGGGTGAGAGTTGGCACCTAGCTTCTGTCTGTCTGGTCTCTTTTATTAGGCCTCAGGGGTCAAGGTAAAGTCTAGGGGCCCCAACCAGGGCTTTGATACCTGTCGCAAAGGGGACCCAAACAGGGCTTTAATACCTGTCACAAATGGGACCCAAACAGGGCTTTCATACCTGTTGCAAAGGGGACCCAAACAGGGCTTTGATACCTGACGCAAAGGGGAACCAACCAGAGCTTTGATACCTGTCGCAAAGGGGACCCAAACAGGGCTTTGATACCTGTTACAAAGGGGACCCAAACAGGGCTTTGATACCTGTCGCAAAGGGGCCCCAAACAGGGATTTGATAACTGTCACAAAGGGGCCCCAAACAGGGCTTTGATACCTGCCACACAGGGCCCCCAAATACCACAAAAGGCTGTGTAAGGATGAATGTGTAAAAATACCACAGCATATGATGTGGGAACTACTGATGTTGGTTGGAACTAGTGTGTCACGGATTCAGCCGAGGCTGCTCCTCCTCCTTGCTCGGGCAGGCTTCGGCGTTCGTCGTCACCGGAGTACTAGCTGCTACCGATCTATGTTCTGTGTTCTACTTGTCTTGTCTTTATTGTTCACACCTGGTTCCCATTAGGTATTGATTACTTCTCTATTTAACCCTCTGGCTCCCACTGTATGTTGTGCGTGTTTGTTCATGTTTGGTTGTCGTCTGGTGAGCAGGTTTGTTTCCTCCCTGCGTGGAGGTTATGTTATTTACGTTACCTACGAGTAAAGTACTTTTTCGATTAGCTCTGTGTCCTGCGCCTGACTTCGTCCTACCGCATCACACTGACATCCTGACATAGTGAGGAAAACGTCTATATGAACACAAGATAAACTCACTTAGACAGTTTTTTTAGATTCTCTTTATTTTTCCTACATGAAATTCCCTCCTGTTCACTAATGTGTTTTAGTGTACATTCAATCTTACCTTGTGCTAATGTGGATGGATACATTTGGTGTAATCACAAATGACTAGACATTACCTGATTTCAAGTCTTCAGTGTGGGCCACTTCCTTATCCCTAAAACCACTATTCCTTTCCTCAGATTTATATTCTGGTTGTCCGAAGCGATCACACCCAGTATCCAGAGGTCGGATGTAGCTGGAGAGATGATCACTACAGTGCTGAAGATTTCGGAGAGACTGGGAGCACTGTCGGTCAACCGGACGGACAAGAGACTGTTCTGGGTCCAGTTCAGTCTGGAGGGAGAAAGTGCCATTGGATCATGTGACTACAATGGGAATGTTATCAATGTCATTGATCAGCCACTACGGTAAGCAGAATATGTAATTCTAGTTATTAAGTCACTAATTTGTAACTACAATGGTTCACTATGTTGACATATTCTAATGAGACCATGTTGCATTAGGGCAGCTATCTATATTTGGCACTAGAACAATATATAATTAGATATCACTTGTAGATCGGTATATATCATTGCTAACTTCTCAATATTCTTCCCACCAGGTCTCAGTCTTTGGGGATGTCTGTGTTCCTGGAGCAAGTCTATTACACTGATGTGACATCACGGACCATATGGTAATTCAGTAAGTACTCAGGGGGTGAGGCAGATAACGTCAACCTAAAGCAAATGACAAACCCCCCTATTGCTGTCAAGGTGGTACATCCCCTCAACCAGCCAATTGAAGACTCCATGCCTGTCTTTCCCGGTCAGAGTTCAAGGTCTGTTTCCTCATTCCTCAATAAATGTGGTCTTACTCCACATTGAGACGTACCATGAACTATTTTTTAAAAATCTGTTCTAAAACTGTTCTAAAACCTTGAACTCTGTTCTAAAACTATTTTCCAAGACCTTGAACTCTGTTCTAAAACTCAGTTCCAAGACCTTGAACTCTGTTCTAAAACTCTGTTCTAAAACCTTGAACTCTCTTCTAAAACTCTGTTCTAAAACCCTGAACTCTGTTCTAAAACCCTGACCTCTGTTCTAAAACCCTGAACTCTGTTCTAAAACTTTGAACTCTGTTCTAAAACTCTGTTCTAAAATTCTGTTCCAAGACATTGAACTCGGTTCTAAAATCCTGAACTCTGTTCTAAAACTCTGTTCTAAAACTTTGAACTCTGTTCTAAAACTCTGTTCTAAAACTCTGTTCCAAGACATTGAACTCGGTTCTAAAATCCTGAACTCTGTTCTAAAACTCTGTTCCAAACCTTTAACTTTGTCCTAAAACTCTGTTCTAAAACTATGTTACAAAACTCTGAACTCTGTTCTAAAACTATTTTTCAAAACCTTGAACTCTGTTCTAAAACTCTGTTCCAAAACCTTCAACTCTGTTCTAAAACTCTGTACTAAAACCTTGAGCTCTGTTCTAAAACTATTTTCCAAAACCATGAACTCTGTTCTAAACCTGTTCTATCTATAACCGTTTCAATGCAGAGTGGGATGGTCGTACAGGAGAATGTGTGAATGTTTGCTCCAACCCTGCTGAGCAGGAGATCTGCCAGTGCACTGAAGGTTTTGACATTAGCAAACACGGGAACTACTGTGAAGGTATGATATCCATTAGTTTAGCACCAATGCTGTGCTATGCTATATGATGTGATATTATGACATTTCAGTGTTACATATTTATTCTATTAATTATTAAGTGTGAAATGGATGATTACCTGGGATTACTAATAAATAATTTGACTAAACATACATTAATCACATCCTAGATGTCAATGAGTGTGGCCTGTGGGACCACGGCTGTTCCTTGGGCTGTGAGAACATTCCAGGCTCCTACTTTTGCACATGTCCCAAAGGTTACGCTCTGCTTCCTGATAGGAAGATCTGCCAAGGTAAGACAGTGCTGCTGAACCACTGATATGTGTCAAGAAAGGGATTACCCTTTAAGGTCTGTGCTGTTCCTTAACCAAAGGTGGTATTGTCTTGTTCATTTGGAAAGTATGGTTATTTACTCCCAAATGTATCTCTTGAAAATGCATTGATATTAATTCACATAAGCGACAAACACTTTGTTGTACATGTTGTGTGTTTAGACATGTATTTGTGTATCGGTGTACTTCACTAATACATATCTAGCGTTAAGCAATTGCCTCTGAGGGTCAAAATGGCTCCCTTGTCTCTGACCAGAGAGCGGAGGTATGTGAGGATCAGGCAGATGTGAGAGGAAGTCTGCCGGATTACACCTATGTGCCAGTCGTGTTAGAAGGGGCACAGCATTATACTAACCCACAAACAAGATGGCGGGTAACTGTACTTTAAGGACCTGCATTGGCATGTTTGTTGTCAGTGCTCTAAACATACTCATAGTTGCTTGAAAACATATAGAGGTACATGTTGAGATAATGTATGGTGTTACCTGTCATTTGGGGCGACTGCTATGGAATTTGGCTCCGATAAATGTCTTAGAAGAGTCCTTTCATTTATCCTATTTGGATCCACTCTTTTGATAGTTCCCTTTTCTCCACTGGTCCAGATGACAAAGTTGTGAACCCAGTCGAACACAAGGCCTGAGATGCCTTTCTCAGACAAGTACAGCTTCTAAAAAGGATGCAGTACAGTTGTGGATCTAGAACCATTCATGTCATTGACTCAACCTCGCATGAAATAGAGATTAGCATATGGTCCACTGACAAATAGTAGGTAATACCGTGTCCATATTAGGACAGCCTCAGAGTCATAATACAGTGTCCATAATAGGACAGCATTTGACATTATACTTTACATTTTAGTCATTTAGCAGACGTTCTTATCCAGATCGACTTACAGTGCATTCATTTTAAGATAACTAAGAGAGACAAACGCAAATCACCATCATAGAAATCACATACACTCCCAGTCAAAAGTTTGGACAAACCTACTCATTCAAGGGTTTTTCTTTATTTTTAATATTTTCTACATTGTAGAATAATAGTGAACACATCAAAACTATGAAATAAGACATATGGAATCATGTAGTAACCAGAAAAGTGTTAAACAAATCAAAATATATTTTAGATTTTAGATTCTTCAAAGTAGCCACACTACTTTCTCAACCAGCTTCATTAGGAATGCTTTTCGAACAGTCTTGAAGGAGTTCCCACATATGCTGAGCACTTGTTGGCTGCTTTTCCTTCACTCTGCGGTCCAACTCATCCCAAACCATCTCAATTGGGTTGAGGTCGGGTGATTGTGGAGGCCAGGTCATCTGATGCAGCACTCCATCACTATCCTTCTTGGTCAAATAGCCCTTACACAGCCTGGAAGTGTTTTCCTGTTGAAAAACAAATGATAGTCCCACTAAGCGCAAACCTGATGGGATGGTGTATCGCTGCAGAATGCTGTGGTAGCCATGCTGGTTAATTGTGCCTTGAATTCTAAACAAATCACAGACACTGTCACCAGCAAAGCACCCCACACTATCACACCTCCTCCTGGTTGAGAGAATGCCAAGAGTGTGTAAAGCTGTCATCAAGGTAAAGGGTGGCTACTTTGAAGAATCTAAAATCTAAAATATATTTTGATTTGTTTAACACTTTTTTGATTACTACATGATTCCATATGTGTTATTTCATAGTTTTGATGTATTCACTATTATTCTACAATGTAGAAAATACTAAAAAATAAGAAACTCCCGAGTGGCGCAGTGGTCTAAGGCACTGCATCTCAGTGCTTGAGGTGTCACTACAGACCCCCTGGTTCGATTCCAGGCTGTATCACAACCGGCCGTGATTGGGAGTCCCATAGGGCGGCGCACAATTGGCCCAGCGTCGTCCGGGTTTGGCCGGTGTAGGCCGTCATTGTAAATAAGAATTTGTTCTTAACTGACTTGCCTAGTTAAATAAAGGTAAAAAATAAAACTTAAATGGGTAGGTGTGTCCAAATTTTTGACTGGTACTGTACATCTTCCTCAATAAGTAGCTATCAGCAAATGCAGTACTAGTAAGAAAAGACAAGTGTGAATGTTAGTTCAAGAAAGGAATTGTTGTTATTGTTTGTTTGTTTTTAGGGTGTTGTGGCATTAATCGAGACACTCTTTGAAGAGGGAGGTGACTGTAACTCTTGTCCTTATATGGGCACCGTAATGTTACAGTCTGTTTCATATTTTTTTAAGGTGAACTAGTAGTATGTGGATGCACCTGTCTCTGTGTTCCATCCATTGCTGCTTTGTAGATGACCCCTGCCTTTTTATTTGCCCAGTAAACTCTCTCCTCTGTGTAGTGGAAGTCCGGAAGAATCGAGTTGCCAACACTGGCCACAACCCTTTTGTTCTAATCGGTATATGGCCTTACCATGGCCGAAGATCAGCTCTGGAGCTTTCCAAAAGGAACAGAGATTCTCAATCATAGATGGTAGATAGCGTATAGTGCATGATAATGCTCATTATCCCATCACACAAAATATAAACCTGGAGGACTGTGATGTTTGGGATTTCAGAAGTGACCTACACCGGACCCACATCTTGGACCGGACGTGACCGGACGTGACGTAAGATTTGAAATGAAGTACTTCTAGAGAAATGTACTTTTCTAGAGAAACTGAAGGTGAGTACACAGTACATAGTAGTATTATGATGTGGCAGTTTGTGGTTGGTAGCTGTCCATGTGCTCTATACGCTCACATCGTTTCCTGGCTGACTCACTATTGCTATAGAATTAGCTACTTCATTGGCAGTCCCTTTTCAATGTGTGCTGCTCTGTGTTGATACCTTTGTTGAATCAATATTGCTGGCTAAAAGCCTCTTCATATGGCTCTAATGGGGTGGAGTTCAAGGCAGCTCTGGCTGCTTCCCAATTAAACAGTCATCTCTTAGCAACATGTGCTTTCACACTCTCCTTTCACATGGTGAATATCCTCATATGTCAGTGAAGACAGTCTTGGACAGTCTTGCTTGTACATTTCTGATGTGTGAGATCTTTTGTATCTTTCAAGCAGAGTAATATTGATTCAAATGATAGAAAATGGTGAAAAAATGTTTAGCTTGTGAAAAGGTCCAAAACATGAATGCTAGTTGTGTTGTGTTGTGTTGTATTGTGGTGTGTTGTGTTTGTGTTGGTGGTTGTTGTGGTGTGGTGTGTTGTGTTTGTTGTGTTGTATGTGGTGAGTTGTATTTTGGTGTGTTGTGTTCTGGTGGCTTGTATTGTGGTGTGGGTGTGGTGTATTGTGTGTGGTGTTTGTGGTGTGGTTTGTTGTTTGTGTTGTATTGTGGTGTGTGTGTTGTATTGTGGTGTGGTTGTGTTGTTGGTTATGGTGTGGTTGTGGTGTTGTTGTGTGTGTGTTGTTTGGTTGTTTGTGATGTGTTTGTATTTTTATTGTGCTGTGTTTGTTGGTGTGTTGATTTTGGTGTTTTTTGTGGTGTGTTTTTTGTATTTTGTTTGGTGGTTTTGTTTTGTGGTTTTTGTTTTGTTGTGTGTGTTGTTTTTGTTGTGTTTGTTCTGGTTGGTTTTTTGTGTTTTTTTTGTTTTTTTTTTTTTTTTTTGTTGTTTTTTTTGTGATTTGTTTTGTTGTTTGTTGTTTTGTTGTTGTTTTGTATTTTTTTTTTTGGTGTGTTGTTTGGGGTGTTTGTTTTTTTTTTGTTTGTGTTTTGTTGTGTTATATTTTTTCTGGTGGGTTGTATTATGGTGTGTTGTGTTTGATGTTATTTTGTTGTGTTTGTAGTTGTGGTTTTTTTTTATTGTGTTTTGGTGTTTTTGTGTTTCTGGTTTGGTTGTTTGTGGTGTTGGTTTGTGTGTTCCTGGTGTTGTGTGTTGGTTGTTTTGTGGGTTGGTTTGTTTTGTTGGTTTTGTTGGTGTGTTGTGTTTTGTGGTTGTTTATTGTGGTGTGTTGTTTGGTGTTTTGTTTGGTGGTTGTTTTTTGGTGTGTGTGTGGGGTGTTGTTGTTGTGCTTGTGGTGTTGTATTGTGTGTGTGTGTTTTGGTGGGTTGTATTTTGTGTGTTTGTGTGGGTGTGTGTGTGTATTGTGGTTTGTTGTTTGTTGTGTGTGTTGTGTGTGTGTATTTTGGCTTGTGTGTTTCTTGTGTGTTTGTTCTGGATTGTGTTGTGTGTGTGTTTGTTCATGTTGTGTTGTATTGTATTGTGTTGTATTGTGTCTGTCGTGTCGTATTGGTAGTGTGGTGTATTTGTGTTGTGTTTTTTTTTTTTTTTTTGTCATGTAGCAGACGCTCTTATCCAGAGCGACTTACATGAGCAATTAGGGTTAAGTGCCTTGCTCAAGGGCACATTGACAGATTTTTCACCTAGTCGGCTCGGGGATTAGAACCAGCGACCTTTCGGTTACTGGCACAATGCTCTTAACCACTAAGCTACCTGCCGTGTTCTATTGTGTTGTGTTGTGGTGTGTTGTGGTGTGGTGTATTGTATTGTATTGTATTCTGTCGTGCCGTGTTGTGTTATCTCCTTCCCTCCATTTTCTCTGCCTGAGACAGTCATGTAGCCTGTTGTCCAGATAGTGTGTATTCAGATTAGAATGTGTACCCTTTATGTGTGTCAGTCTATCCTGTATAAGTGTCTTCCTCTCCCTGAGTGAATCAGGCTGGATGAGTAAGTGGGGGAACTTGGAGGAGTGGAGAAGACTTGTCAGTGGCCTGCTTGCTTTTTGTTTACTCCGGAGAGCCATCGTCAGACTCCACCAACCAAACTTCTATTCATACCCAGGTTGACTAGCATATTGTTAGCAGCAGTGTCACAAGTGGCTGTGTAAGTAGCTGTAGGAGGGCTAACTAGGCTGAGAAGGGCTCCGTGTCTCCAGCTGTAGTTGAGTTGAGTTAGAAATGTGCCCGCTCAATGGCCTTTGTCCCGTGATTTCACCCTTGTTGACAACATTTCCGGCTCCTCCCATGTTATCAGGATTTATGGCAACAACTGTTCAGGCACCCAGAAGGCCGTGACCCATTGATTACTGTCCCGCTCTCTCACTGTGCACCCAGCCAGTGGGGCTGTAGGATAGGAGAGGAACACACATGAGTCATAGCGGATATATTCTGACATTTACATGCTCAAATACACAGTCACACTCATGTTGGTGGATGCACAGACATCAACATACTCCATAAGTAACATCTGTGAGACAGTGGAAGTGGAGATCATGGTGGGATCAACAGAGAAGACAGAGGAGGGGTTGTAACTTTGAGAAATATATACACCTGTTGCTGAAGTGAGGAAAGGGCACAGAATCCCATTACTCATGGGTAAAGACCAGAGATGATCACATTGGGAAATATCACACTTAATACATAATAGTGGAGTTGTTGTACAGAGAGCCGATGACAGCACTGTAAGGGGTCACATCACATCACATTGACCAACACTGCCATATATACCCAAATGCTTATATGAAATATGAAGACATGAAATACACAAAGATTTGTTTTATTAAAAAGAAGAATACAATACCATTGTATGTACAAAGAAAAACAATATGTTACACAGAAACTGTTGCATTGTTTGTTGGGCAGGTCAAATCTTCTAATATACTAGTAAAGTAAGGCAACAATTAGCTTGAAGGTTAGACTTTTGAGTGAACCATTGCTAGCAGTATAAATCAATGTGTTGTTGGACTAGGATAGTCGGCATGTCTATTGATACTATATTGAGATCAATGAATGTCTTATCTGTTTAAACCTGGTGTGGTGTATAGTGACTAAGAAGTAAGCCATAGTAAACACTGTGGCAGATGATTTCATTATGGTATTATGAAAAATTGCATTAAACTGAGAATGAATGTAAGTGCTGAGCTGCAAAGACAGCAATCTTAAAATTGAGTTGTCATGATGCCAGTATCATGATGCTGATTGTTTCCAGCATTAGGGCTGTTTTCCTCCTTCTTTTCTTGCCACGATACTTCTGAATATCGCGATGCTGGTATTGTGACAAACCTATCTCAAAATGTGATAAAAAAAAAAGAAGAAATGAAGGCTTCAACAATCAGTGATGTCATGTAGAGTCTTCATCTAGTACTAGCACAAAAATTCTGACCTGGAACTGTCACTCCTGTATGTCATTTGTGAGTCAATGCTGGACCTCGAGAAGAGGAGCATCCTCTCTTGGGACTCCTCGGTCTGCCTGCGGGCCCACAATTCACTGGGATTAGCGTTCAAGGTTCTCTGCTTCATCGACAGTGTCTCGAACTTCACATACGTGTCTTTAGACAGATCGTCTTCCAAACCTGGCACACTACTCTGGCAGTAGAGTGAGAGGATCTTGTAGACCAGCAGACCGATGACAGGTAAAGCCATGGCGCAGGCAATGCCGCTGACGATCATCAGCAGCTGGTTTGCGGCATCGTCCTCAACAATGTCCAGTGTGAAGAAGTTGATGCAGGGGTCTATCCCTGCGGCACTTCCCTTGGTAACCAGACAAACCTGGTACCTCATTCCAGAAGTCAAGCCTTCGAGGAGGACCTTGCCACTCCCAGCATCGGTATCCATTGTCCTTTTGGAGTCGTCCTCATCGTCGTAAGTAGAGTACACAACGGTGAGAGGGGCATCGCTCGGCAAACCGTCGGCCGTCCAGAGTAGAACAGCGCTGTCCACCGTTTCCTCCACGATCTCCAGATCTTGGACGGACTTGGAAGCGTCTTTCTTTTTGCTCTGATCAGCCGCCAGCATATTGTCGCTGCCTTGCTGGATCTTGGATGGTTTGGGTGGGGCTTTCTGCTGCACGTTGCTGGGCGTGAGTTTCTTCTTGGTGGGGACAGGTGGCAGCGTGGTCGTGGCTGGGGCGGTGGTGGTAAACAGGGTGCTAGGGGAGTTGGGGAAGCCAGTTGCCGGAGCAGAGGACGTTGTGGATGGGCTATTCCCTTCAGCCTCTCCATTGGGCCTCTGTGGGGGCATGGTTGTAGCGACATAACCTGCCACAGACAGGCTGATGGCAGCCTCTGCATTACCGGCGAAGTTCTTAGCCTTGCAGCTGTACTCCCCGTCGTCTTTGTATGAGATCCCATTTAGGCTGATGACGGACCATCGGACACCTTCTCCCGGAGACTCCTGGACAACTGTAGGTAGATCATGGAAATGCCAAGACTTAATCATCACCAAGATGTAGACTTTCTTTGAATGAATCTCAAAGATCAACTGTAGAACAATAGCAAATCCTAACAAATCAATTTTGAAATCTAAAACTATTGTTGAAAAACATGTTGAATAAGACACTGTATGCCTTTTCTTATAATATAATGTCTCACTGTTGATACCTGTGTTGTTGACAGGTGAGCCATCTGAAGTGGTCCAGATGAGGGTAGGTGTGGGGTAACCCGTGGCATCACAGCGAAGAAGCACATTGCTTCCCAAAGAGGCTGTAATCTTGGTGGCTGACATCATGACGGATGGCTTGAGACATTGGTCCAGCTCCGCCCTTTGGAACATAACCCCAGCCAGGTTCTCAGGCCCGCTGCAGGACAGGAACTGATCCATTAGGACTACTGACGTGTCAGACATTTTGGAGAGCTCGATCAGCTTGGAGATCCTGCAGTCGCAGACCCACGGGTTGTCCTGAAGACCTGGAGGGGAAAAGAGAGGAAATGTTTGTGATAGTTATGCTAAATTAAATGTAAATTAATGTTTGTGAAAAGGTTAGGAATGTGCAGTGGTTCAGAGACGAAGAACATGCTAACAATGATAAATGCTAATAGTAATGTGGCTACGAATGTAAACAAACTCAAAGAGTGGACTCCAGTCTCTCCTAGCTCATACACAAATTATACAATTGCTCACGCTTTATAATAACTCCATGTAACAAAGCCTTTATAATGGATTAGTAAATCGTTTATTAATAATTTACTAAACATTTCTCTATTCATAAGATGTTTAATATAGGCCCTTATAAACCAATCATTAGTTAAGGTTTTTCGCATGGCAAAAGAAAAAGGTAGTCTGTTTTGTCCCATAGTTGCACACGCATTGGTTTTGTTGCTAAACAACCAACCCGTCTATGGCATGTTCATCTTTTTGCGAGAAATTACACTGGTTACTCAAAACATTTATAAAGTATTTATAAAGTGTAAATAGAACACACTTTAGGCCACGCAAAATACTTAACTAATGATTAGTAAATGGTTTATAAGGACCTATATTTAACATGTCATAAATGATCTTATGAATCATTATTAAATACTTTGATAGTTGTATGTAAATGTGTGAATAACTAGGTTACGAAATGTGGGAGTAAAGATCAATAAACAGTGGTGTAAAGTACTTACATAAAAACACTGTAATGTACTACTGAAATAGTTTTAGGGTATCTGTACTTCACTTTACTATTTATATTTTTGACTACTTTTACTTTTACTCCACTACATTCCTAAAGAAATTATGTACTTTTAACTCCCATACATTTTCCCTGACACCCAAAAGTACTCGTTACATTTCGAATTCTCAGGCAGGACAGCAATGCGGTCCAATTCGCGCACCTATCAAGATAACGCGTTGTCATCCCTACTGCCTCTGATCTGGTGGACTCACTAAACGCAAATACTGCATTTGTAAATTATATCTGAGTGTTGGAGTGTGGCCCTGGCTGTCCATAAATAAATAACAAAACTAGAAAATCCAGCCATCTGGTTTGCTTAATAAAAGGAATTTGATGCATAGCATTTACTTTAAGTATGACAATTTAGTACGTTTTCCACTACTGCACTTAAGTACATTTAAAACTAGATTCTATTAGACATTTACTCAAGTACTATTTTACTGGGTGTCTTTCACTTTTACTTGAGTCATTTTCTATTAAGGTATCTTTACTTTTACTCAAGTATGACATCTTGTACTTATCTAAAGTCAACAAAAACATTGACGGCATAATATGCTATGAATTCCATGTTCATCTATTTTCCCGCCAACATTATAGAAAAAAAAACTATACATAGTTAATTTTCTGTACAGTTCTGTACAGCTAGCATGTGTAACTTAGTGTTCTCATTCTAGGTATGGATACAGTAGCGTTACAACTGAGCCATCCTTCTATTACCCTAATGATGGGATTTCTCAGACCGAGGGTCAGACATGGGTCAGATTTGGAGTCGTATCATCTCTTACAAATGACATTAAGTTACTAGCATGTTATGCGTGTGAAAGGAGGGTAGAGCCGCTTTCGCAGAACACACACACAGACACACATGCTAACAGAAACACAGCTACTGTACATAAACACACTCAAACACACATACACTCTCTTTCTCTTTCTTTCTTTCTTTCTTTCTTTTTTCTTTTTTTCTTTTTTTCTTTTTTCTTTCTTTCTTTCTCTCGCTCTCTCGCTCTCTCGCTCTCTCGGTCTCTCGCTCTCTCGCTCTCTCTCACTCACTCATTCACTTACATGCACACTCACACACTCACACGCACACACGCACACACACATGTGGAAGTGCATGTGTATTGTGGAAACCCCTTAACCATGCTTAACCAGATTAGTTGTACTTAACTGGGGACAACCCAACCACAAACTCTAAACCTGTTGTTGGCTTTTTTCCCAACATACTACAGTGCACTACCTGGTCTTTTAAAGGGGCAATCTGTAGTTGTTACATTTTTGGACTTTTGAATTAATGATGTACAGTATACCCATTGATTCTTGAAGAATACCACTTATAAATACCCCATGAGCTTAGTTCAACTGTCTTACCCCATAAAACCCCAAAATATAAGCTTTTTTTTCTCCATTGTTTGTAAACACTGTAATTTTAAACAAACACTGTATTGCCTCAACATGGTTAAAACTATATTGTGACATCATGGATGGTCAGTCCTTCCATCCATAGCTCTGTCTATGAATTTGAGAGTGTTGACATTTCTTCAGCCCTATTCCTCAGCTTTTACCAAAACAGTGGCGGGGTGTCCATTTTGTTATTGTTTGAACTCCAGATTGCCCCTTTAATAGATGGAAGAAAAGAAAAAAGAAAGAAAACATTAACCGCTAATCATTTGTTTTATGTTAGCTCAGGGTATCATTAAAAACTTCAGTTAAGAGAATTGTTTTACTGAAGACTAGCTCAAATATTGCTCTGTGATACACTCTTGATACAGCCTTTGAGCATTGAAGTGGGCCAACCTCTGAACAGTGCTGAAAAGGTTATTCTATAATGTGATGGTACGGGAAGTGTCTATATTCTTTACATGGGACGTTGTGTGTCTTCCTTAGGGAAAGGCTAATCTTGTTTCTCCTTCCAGGACACCAGCGAATACAACAACTTTTTTCAGTATGGATAAGCTAGCTGGTCCTTAAACACACCATTAACATTATCCCACTCTTCAAGCTAGTTCTCAGACAGAGTGAAAGAGAGAGTATTTTCTTTAAGATGGGCAACCTTCAGTCTTAATGAATTCTATACTTCTTCAGTCATAAACAACATTGTACATGTGATTTGTTTTAGAAATGTCCCATTGGTAAGTCCCTTAACAATTCCCGGTTTATTTATTGATGTATTTATTTATTTGTCTTGTATCCGAATGCTCTCTACAATGTATACATCAGTTTGTACATCAGCATTCTATTCAGCATTTGGCATGCCAATGAAAACCTGGGTACATCTGAGGGCCTGCTTACACCTTCACACAATCTGAAGATTTAGTGTGAAGCCCAAAATACATGGCATGTTTGTACAAATCAAAGCATGGAAAAATAACTAATTAGATTTGTCAAAGCCCAAGGTCAGAAAGGGACTATCATTGCATGATAACTTTAACTCCCCACTTCTTATGAGGTGGATCTAAAATAGGTTGACCTGGTAACATGCAGCTACTGCACCTAAATGCTGTGGACATGTACAGTTGAAGTCGGAAGATTACAAACACTTAGGTTGGAGTCTTTAAACTCGTTTTTCAACCACTCCACACATTTCTTGTTAACAAACTATAGTTTTGGCAAGTTGGTTAGGACATCTTCTTTGTGCATGACACAAGTAATTTTTACAACAATTCTTTACAGACAGAATATTTCATTATAATTCACTGTATCACAATTACAGTGGGTCAGAAGTTTACATACACTAAGTTGACTGTGCCTTAAAACAGATGTCATGGCTTTAGAAGCTTCTGATAGGCTAATTGACATCATTTGAGTCAATTGGAGGTGTACCTGTGGATGTATTTCAAGGCCTACCTTCAAACTCAGTGCCTCTTTGCTTGACATCATGGGAAAATCAAAAGAAATCAGCCAAGACCTCCGAAAAAAATGTGTATACCTCCACAAGACTGGTTCATCCTTGGGAGCAATTTCCAAACACCTGAAGGTACCACGTTCATCTGTACAAACAATAGTACGCAAGTATAAACACCATGGGACCACGCAGCCGTCATTCCACTCAGGAAGGAGATGCGTTCTGTCTCCTAGAGATGAACGTACTTTGGTGCGAAAAGTGCAAATTAATCCCATGAGGAAGGAAAATTATGTGGATATATTGAAGCAACATCTCAAGACATCAGTCAGGAAGTTAAAGCTTGGTCGCAAATGGGTCTTCCAAATGGACAATGACCCCAAGCATACTTCCAAAGTTGTGGCAAAATGGCTTAAGGACAACAATGTCAAGATATTGGAGTGGCCATCACAAATCCCTGACCTCAATCCTATAGAAAATGTGTGGGCAGAACTGAAAAATTGTGCGATCAAGGAGACCTACAAACCTGACTCAGTTACACCAGCTCTGTCAGGAGGAATGGGCCAAAATTTACCAAATGTATTGTGGGAAGCTTGTGGAAGGCTACCCGAAACGTTTGACCCAAGTTAAACAATTTAAAGGCAATGCTACCAAATACTAATTGAGTTTATGTAAACTTCTGACCCACTGGGAATGTGATGAAGGAAATAAAAGCTGAAATAAATCATTCTCTCTACTATTATTCTGACATTTCACATTCTTAAAATAAAATGGTGATCCTAACTGACCTACAGCAGGGATTTTTTACTAGGATTAAATGTCAGGGATTGTGAAAAACTGAGTTAAATTTATTTGGCTAAAGTGTATGTAAACTTCCGACTTCAACTGTAGTTGATAGTCTATTGATAGTCTGTTGAGCATCTATAGATGGACTTTCCAAATACAGAGTTACCCAAATAGGTCTTGGAACCTCAATGTGAAGATGGAAATATGCCTTTAGGTTAAACTTAGCAGTCACTAAGTATACACATTGCATTACAGTCCACGTGCCAGAAAAAAAGTGCCATCACGTTGAGGTATTGTCATAACGATTGCCATGGATTTCATGAGCAGCTGATCAGTAGAAGCATGTGTTCTAGTCAGGGCAAAAGCTTGCGCAACCAGTACAGATGTAGGATCTTAATTTGAGACAATTTGCTACAGCAGGAAAATAATCCTGCAGCAACAGGACATTTTAATTATTATGTGGATTATTATTAATGGACATTTTGTAGGGGTAAATACTTTTTTTGTAAAGGAAAATCAAGTCAGAAATGTCTAAGTGGAAATTATAAACTTCAGAAGCCTTTTTAAACCTCAAATACACTACAAGTTTGTGTTGCAGAAAAGTTATCCTGCATCAGGGTGATCAAATTCTACATCTATAGCTCTTGAGGGTGGAGGGTTGTGCACCCCTGCCCAAAGTCCTAACCTTAAACCCTCATCCCCACATCACCCACTCACACTTCAACCTCAGTTCTCTTACCGAGCACCACTTTCTGGGACAGGTTGGAGGAGACATGCATTCTGTTGAACGGCGGCCAGATATCCACGAGGTCCGAAGACAGAGTGGTCAGCTTGTTGCTGGAGATATCCAGGTAGGTGATGTTGACCAGATACGGGATAGCCTCCACAGCCACGCTGGTCAATTGGTTGTTGTGAAGATCCAGCGTCCTCAGACTAGGCATCTCCTTTAGGGACTCCCAGGGAAAGGTGGAGATCAGGTTCCCGTCCAGTCGCAGTTCGTGGAGGACCTTGAGGTTGTAGAAGGCGGCAGCGTCCACAGACGAGATAGAGTTGTAGGTGATCCACAGGTAGCGCAGGTCGTTCAGGTAGTAGAAGGCCTCGGTGGGGATGCGCCGCACTGCCGTCTTCTCTACCCGCAGTTTGACCGTATCCACGGGGACGTTGACGGGGATGTCGGACATGTCTGGGTCGTTACACAGCACAGATCTGAGAGGGTCAGAATAGATAAGCTCAGTTTAAATATATCAAAAACTCATATTTTCTCTCTCCAAAGCTAGAGTTCCATAAAATAGCTTTCACCTATCCAGTATAGTCAGATCAGTGATTACCATTCGGAAGGGGTTGGAGGGTTCTTCAGTCCTTGTCCTTGAGAACCACAGGGTGTTGTTCCAGCCCAGTAGCCTTCTAAACCACCTGATTCATCTGATCATCTAGCCCTTAATAGCTTGAGTATGTGCGTTAACGCTGGGCTGGGACAAAAGCCTAGAAAACTGACCAGGATTGAAGAGCTCTGTACTTTGTGTTTCCAACACTTGAGTTGCAGTTATTCTAAACATGGGATAGGTATTGAGAAAACGTGCACCTCTATTAAACTCATAATTCAAAGTCTAAGAGGTCGGACACAAGGTTATAATACAAAGAGGGACAGGAGGTTCTGATACTAAGAGGGACAGGAGGTTCTGATACTAAGAGGGACAGGAGGTTCTGATACTAAGAGGGACAGGAGGTTCTGATACTAAGAGGGACAGGAGGTTCTGATACTAAGAGGGACAGGAGGTTCTGATACTAAGAGGGACAGGGGGTTATAATACTAAGAGGGACAGGAGGTTCTGATACTAAGAGGGACAGGAGGTTCTGATACTAAGAGGGACAGGAGGTTCTGATACTAAGAGGGACAGGGGGTTATAATACTAAGAGGGACAGGAGGTTCTGATACTAAGAGGGACAGGGGGTTATAATACTAAGAGGGACAGGAGGTTCTGATACTAAGAGGGACATGAGGTTCTGATATTAAGAGGGACAGGAGGTTCTGATACTAAGAGGGACAGGAGGTTCGATACTAAGAGGGACAGGAGGTTCTGAGTACTAAGAGGGACAGGTGTTCTGATACTAAGGGGACAGGAGGTTCTGATACTAAGAGGACAGGAGGTTCTGATACTAAGAGGACAGGAGGTTCTAATACTAAGAGTGACAGGAAGTTCTGATACTAAGAGGGACAGGGGGTTCTGATACTAAGAGGGGGACAGGAGGTTCTGATACTAACGAGGGACAGGTGGGTTTATAATCTAGAGGGAAGGGGTTCTGATACTAAGAGGGACAGGGGGTTATAATACTAAGAGGACAGGAGTTTCTGATAATAAGAGGGACAGGGGTTCTGATATTAAGAGGGACAGGAGGTTCTGATACTAAGAGGGACAGAGGTTCTGATACTTTAAGAGGGACAGGAGGTTCTGATACTAAGAGGGACAGGAGGTTTGATACTAAGAGGGACAGGAGGTTCTGATACTAAGAGGACAGGAGGTTTATACTAAGAGGGACAGGAGGTTCTGATACTAAGAGGGACAGGAGGTTCTGATACTAAGAGGGACAGGAGGTTTGATACTAAGAGGGACAGGAGGTCTGATACTAAGAGGGACAGGAGGTTTCTGATACTAAGAGGGACAGGAGGTTCTAATACTAAGAGGGACAGGAGGTTCTGATACTAAGAGGGACAGGAGGTTTAATACTAAGAGACAGGAGTAATACAAGGACATCTGATACAAAGGACAGGATTGAAAACTAAGAGGACAGGAGTTCCAATATAAAACAATCCTGTACTAAGGACAAGGTTCTGATACAAGAGGAAGAGGTAATACCTAGAGGACAGGGTTTACATACAAATACAGACCATTTGTAAAAAATCTGTGAAAAATGATCCAGATTCCAATATAATAAAATATGTAAAGACAACCTCCTGTAAGAAATATGGTAAATACCTGGTCCCCGTTCCATCACTCCGTCCATGGTAAACACAGGTACACTGGGAAGGACAGAAGGAATGGGCCACACTGAAGCAGCACAGGAAGACATGGGCGTAGAGAAGAAGATGCATGGTTCACCAAATCAACCCAACACGCTCACACCACAAGTTCAGGAGAAAGAGGAAAAGACATCCGAATTCATGTAGAAAGGTTAAAAAACACACCTAATTTTTGGTAGAGAGGGGAAAAGAAGAATAGTCCCGGAGTCCCACACGCATAAGAAGTGCTTACAGGTGACCCATCATTAGGATGGGAGAAGGGGGAGGGGAGGACAGTAAGGCCAGATTAGTGGAGGATTTCACGGGGCTGACTAGGTCACGCAAGCCAGGACATGGAGGATAGAAATCAGCCTTGGGGACACGAACGCTAATTGGCTAGCACACTACGCGGGGAGGTTTCCCCTTACCAGATCCCCCAGATCTCCTCACACACCCACAGCCTTCATCACCCCAGTCTACCCCTCCCCCCCCCTCCCCCCTCCCCAGCACACACCCAGAGCCTTCATAACCCCAGTCTACCCCCCTGACCCCACCTAACACACACCCACAGCCTTCATTACCCCAGTCAACACTTTTTTGTTTTGTTTAACACTTTTTTGGTTACTACATTATTCCATGTGTTATTTCATAGTTTTGATGTCTTCACTATTATTCTACAATGCAGAAAATTGTCAAAGAAAAACCCTTGAATGAGTAGGTGTGTCCAGACCTTTGACTGGTGCTGTATATATATATGTATATTTAACATAAGATCATTTGTCTTGAATGAGCTCCACCTGTAATCTAAGAGGTGTTATATTGACATCCACTGTGTAGAAATGGTTACTTCACACATATTTATTGTATGGAGAACACTAGAATAATTAACCATTATACTCATAAAAAAATAAGTGTTATTCATTATAAGTGATTTTTTTATATTTACACTTGAGTGGGTCAGAAACAGACTGCTGCTGGTCTTAGCTTGGTCCTGACTGAGAGAAAGAGGGCCGTCTATTGTTAGAATGGCAGTTGGTTGAGAAGAGATATACTGGAGTCATTTTGCCTGTGAGGGCAATACATACATACATACAGTACATATACATATATATATATATATATATATACAGGTAACTGCCAAAATAAAGGAATCACCAACATAAAGTGTCTTTTTTTAGGCCGTTGGTCCACCAGATTCTACAAGTGTCTGGAACTCTATTGGAGGGATGCGACACCATTCTTCAACGAGAAATTCCATCATTTTGTGTTTTGTTGATGGTGGTGGAAAACACTGTCTCAGGCGCTGCTATGCGTCTATGAGCCCCCTATTTCAAAGTCACAGAGATCTCTTCTTCTAGCCATGGTAGACAAAATAATGGGCAACTGGACATTTTATACATGACCCTAAGCATGATGGGATGTAAATTGTTTAATTACCTCAGGAACCGCACATGTTGGAAGCCGTGCTTTCAATATACTTTGTATCCCTCATTTACTCAAGTGTTTCCTTTATTTTGGCAGTAACCTGTACACACTATTTTCTGTTTGTAATTACTCAATGTTATACTGTACTTACTGCAGTAACCCTAACTCTTACCCCAATCTAATTGGTCATTGGAAATTACAATACTTAAAGGAACAGTTATAGCAATAAGAACACTGCAGAGTGTTTCACAGGGAATAAAGTGATGTTTATTTATGCAAGCAAATTTTGATCCTACAGGTCAGAAAGCCACTTCAAGCTGTTGGCACATGTATGTATAAAACAGATTCAATTAAGAGAATGTTACTATGTAAGTAAGCATTCTTTGTGAAAGTACAAATGACTAGTACGAGGAGAAAGCTGAAAGCATTGTCAGGTCAGAAGCAAAGTTGGTACAAGAATCAGTTCAAGACATGGTTGAAAACTCATCACAAACTAAACAGACACAACTCAAACACTAGCGTCTAATATCAGTAGCATAATGCTGTTACCGTGGGGGGTTTAGTACTGCACATATAAACAAAAGGTTGACAGCCAAAGTGTTAAAAAAAGTGTCCATGCCACGAAAAACATCTACATTCACAGTCTTTACCTAACAGTACAGTTATCCAACTCTGAGTTGAACACAAATGAGCTTACACCTAGAGAGAGCACAGAAATGGTCAAATAAGTGCACAAAACTAGCTCTTAGAAATACTGACAAAACAAATATTGCCAGGCAATGAAATGGTAGGCCACCTTCGGAGTCCTATGGCATATTGATGTGTAAGCAAGACAATCCGACTTTTACTGTCATAAACAAAATAACTTACTGTGACACACACTTTTCTTAAGTCTGATAAATCCACCAAAAAGTGCAATTTTACATGAAAACCCATTTTTTTGCGTCAATATTTTTGTAAGACTTAGCGATTAATAGTGAATTAAACCACAGTAACTTATTTTTATTCTCTTATGAATTGTCCTGAATTTGAAGTGCTTAACATATAGGACCAAAGTATGCATTTATATCTCAATATATGCAGTGCAGAAATCTGCAAAAACTTTTTTCATACTTGTATTTATAAAGTTCAACTTTATGAAATAAAAATGGGGGTATGAGAACATGTTTTCATGTGCTTGTCTGGCATATGATTAAAGACGATGGAATCATTCACAGTCCTTAGATACATAGCTTTAAATTGGCAAGATGCCTCATATTGTAATAAAATAATCCATTGTTTATCATATTGGCAACTAATTTCTTCTTTGATAATGAATTAAGTGTTTCCTGTTTAACAGGCTTCCCGCTGGGCACACATTGGTTAAATCAACGTTGTTTCCACGTCATTTCAATGAAATTACATTGAACCAATGTGGAACAGACAAAAATATTTTAGTCTTCAACACCGATCACCCATCCATGTACGTAGTGCTTCAAAATGAGATCTATATAGACACACAAACATGATAAATGTGCTTGAAACCCTTTAAGCCCCAACTGACCGCCTCAAAACAGAAGATAAATAAATAATACAGGGGGATATGTGACACTTAATAAAACTACAAACTCATACAAATCCAAATAAATTCTCCAAAGTAAAAAAGTATATGAAAAATACTTCTGCTAGCTACTTCCAATTCTACTAAGTACTGAACTACCAACTACTATAAAACCCATAATAATACAGGAAATCATCATCATCATCATCATCATCATCATCATCATAATACAGTCCATGAGAGAGGTAATAGGGCTCATCATCTGAAATGCTGTTTGGGGGGGTTGTGTGAGGGTACCCCGGACCACTTTGTCATATGACGCACCAGTGACATCAGCGGTGGCGAGGACCCCAGGCGCCACCCACCCCCCTCTTTAAAGGGGATGGTGGAGATGGAGGGGCAGGGGGGCAGGGGGACAGGGCCAGGCCTCACGCTGGCCTTAGGTGTAGGCGTTGAGACGCTCCTTGGAGCGGGTGGAGTGGATGTCGTGGAGCTCCTGCTCCTCCTTGGACTTGGTGTCCTCGTACTTTTGCATCCTGCACGCGTCCTTCACGTAGGCCCAGTTGGCCGACAGCACCATCAGGTAGTGGATCTGAAACAGAGATGAGTCACCCACAAGTTCAGTCAGGGAGAAAAATCAAAAGCCGCAAATGATTGGTCTTTCACTTTTCCACTGACATCCATTAGGGAAAGATTAATGCCTGTCAAGAAATTGAAGAAAGTGTACCATATTTATATATTGTATTATCACTACAGATTTCATGATACCGTCTTAATGGAGAACATAGAATGAGGAATTAGAATATTAGTAATTTAATAGGATCTCTATGGATTTTCACATCATGACATCATCTGCAGAAATATAAAGTGCTATTATTGTGGCCCACAGCCTTAATTAAAGCTGGAAAATGAGTTAAATTAAGTATACTAGAGGTGAAAAACAATGTCTCAAATTCTGAAATCTTTCATTTTCAATTCACAATGGTGTGTTTCACTGACATGCCAGCAGGTGGCAGTACAATAGAAGAAGTCAGCAGTACCCAGGGTTTCCATGGCAGTAAAGGTTCATGGAGACACATTGCCATTGTGAACGTATTTTGCTTAAATTACTGTGGTTGTTACTTTGCCACAACTTTCACACTGAATCATGGTCAATATAAGAAGCTAATGGATTTAAATCTACACAAAGACCAATTTACTGGTTCTTAAGGATTCCAACAAAAGCTGTGGTCTCAGCTGTGAGGACTTGGAATCGTGAAAAGACTGCATCCATTCTGTTTAACATCTCATGTCGTATTTGATTTTGATCATTAGTCATTTGTTTTAGTAATCAGTTAAATAATCAGCTAAAATGGAAGGACCATGCATTGTTCAATGCATCAACACCTTTTCAGTTCATCATGAGAGAGAAATCAGACTTGCTTTGATTCTTTTTTAACATTGTAGTATCCTTTTTTTACTGCCACGCTTCTGTTGGTGGGCGTCTGTTTCCTAGCCATTTGTTTTGTTAAAATGGGAGGCAATGTCTCACTGCAATTTGCACAATCATCTTTGACTAACGATGACCACATTCTCTTTCTTAGAAAATGGCTCCTCACAAATTACTGAGAGATGTTTTCAACAAGCTCCGGGCCTTTCTTCTCCCAGTTTCCATGACAACGCTGTGACATGCCTAGCATCTCTGGGCCAAAGAAAAACCTTGTCTCACCACTGCGCCAAATACTGCCTCCTGTAGCTCAGTTCGTAGAGCATGGCACTTGCAACGCAAGGGTTGTGGGTTTGTTTCCCACGGGGGCCAGTATGAAAAATGTATGCACTCACTAATTGTAAGTCGCTCTGGATAAGAGCGTCTGCTAAATGACTGAAATGTAAATTGGATCACTAAAAATACTGCCTCCCCATCCATTCCCATAGGCCTACAGCAAAACAGATTTCAGCTACAGAAATCAACCGAGCCCATTAAAACACAACATTTGGTTTACCCCATTACAACTTGTATTTGACCTATTACTGTCATTTTCAAAATGGCCATGTCAAATCAGAACAATTTTTTTGCGTATGGACTAGTTAAATAAAAACTAGTGCAGGGGAAAATCACTGACATGTCTGATTCCTATTTTCTCATATGAGGAACATGAGATATAATCTATACAGTGATCTGTACAGATCTCAGCCGTTCATATAAAGATTGCATGGTCCATTAGATGTGATATTGCCCTCAAATGGATATAAATCAAAGCTGTACCATCAGCTATATCAACAGAGATAGAAAAGTAATCTGTTTTTGTGTCTTACCATAGCAATGACAGCTGCTCCAGCACCAGCCAGTGAACAAACAAACAGGTGGAATGTCATGTCCAGCTTTATCAAAGACAAAGGAAAGGAAAACGTTAGTCAGGCTTCCCCATGAAAACCACAGTGAACATGTAAAAGACCTATCTGCATTGCTCAAAACATTCATTGATGTTACATGTAAATGTTCATTTTGCAAAAGCTTTTGAACTTTGAAATTTTGAAACCAAGTATCACATCATTTATTAAATATATGTTAAGTGATTTTTATCACCTACCTCATTTGATTCACACATTTTGTAAAACTTGTCAGATCCAGTGCATACAGTCTTCCCCTCCTCAATTGGCACAATACCTGAAAAGAGAGGAGAACATTTCAATAGGCCATTCTGACATTTGCATATTAGTTTTGATTTATCTCAGAATATCTATACCACAGATGTCTATGCAACATTCATGGGTAATATGTTTGAAACTACCCAGAGAGAAGCAGTAAACCCAACTACTGTATATCATGAATCCTTACCATAGTGGCGCGGGTCCAGGCACAGAGTGACTCCCTCCGGGATGGTGGTGTTTTGGCAAATGTTCCAGATGTTGAAGTAGATGAAGACGGGGAGGGAGGTGAACGCTGTCACCCCGAGCCAAGTCAGCATGAAGATGTACGTCAGCATGATGAACTAAGACATAGGATAGGGGAGACTCTTTAGATTCCAGGTTGCAATTTTTATACCTCGTGTCAAGTGAATTAGGAATAACATTAGGAGGTGTTAGTATTTCCCATCAGGATTTATTGTGACTGAATCTATAACTGTGTTTCCCAAACCTCTCCTCAAGTACCCCACATTCCACTTTTTGATCTATTCCAGTACTAGCACACTTAATTCCACTTGGACTTGATGATTGGCCACTTGAAACAGGTGTGCCAGTACTGGAATAGAAAGTGGAACGGATGGGGGTACTCAGAGAGAGGGCTACATTCTGCCCTTTACACAGAATAGTCAAATTTGAGCTACAATATTGTGATTGATGGCACTACCATTTTAAAAGCTACTTTGTCCCTTAGGGACATCACATTACACACAGGTCGTTCATAGAAAACGTTACCAGATACTCTTGAAGGTCAGTAAACTTCATCATTCAGTGATTAATTACCCCTTACCCAAGCACTGACACAACGTCCACAGGTGGTGATCTTGAAGTCTCCATACAGGTCCTTAATGGCTCCGCTGGTAAAGAAGCCCTCCACCATCAGCAGAATGCCGTAGACAAAGAACGCTGAGGCGATGCCATAGATTACATATTTAATGATGTCAATGCTGGAAGGAAAAGGGAAAAGTGTGTGAAAACAACTGTAATGTACAGTTATGACATTGTTGTTTCATTGTTATTTTGCATTAAAAACACCTTTATACACCCTCTGTAACTCTGTTTGGTCAAACTTATCATGAAGTTCTATAGATACCATGTAGTTATATTGAATCGTGTATTCACACAATAAATATACAAGTGACTAATTTGAAACCCATTTTAAATCGAGACAGTGTGCTTTCACCAGAATACAATGTTGGTCTTATCTAGCCTATCTGCAATGCAGGTTCTTCTAAAGTACAGAGAGCTTTCAGGTGATACACAACAGTGTGTCTTGAATGTTTCCAGTGTAGGTCATAGGTGTGTTACGTGTGTAGCCTACTCACATGGTGAACACATCAAGGGAATCCACGGGTCCTCTGACCACCTCAAAGTAGTTCTGCAGGATGGTGACGGTCCCGGAGAGGGCCTCGTGCCCGCAGCCGCAGAACAGCGCCACCCCGGCGTACAGCAGGATTGTAGCGATGAGTGATGGGTACGGGATGCCGCCCAGGCATTTGATACAGCACTCCAGGCATCCTGAGCACACAGAGAGAAGAGAGACATTCAGACATCGTGAAAGACAGAAGGGAATGTTCACTATATACAGTAAATCTCTGGACAACAGAGAGCACTGGTTGAGAATGCTGGAAGAAATCTTGAGAGGAATCAATCAGACTAAGCTGTGGTCAGTACAAGGCCTTTATATCACCACCACAACCACTAAAATTATGCTGTTGCATGAGTGTGTGTGAGACTGCCTCAGTCTAAGTGTCTGTGGGCGGGATGTCTGGGTGAATTTGACTTGATCGTTGTGTTTCTACAAAATGCGGTGACCATATTAGAACAGCATCACAATCCCATTGAAGTGTTACTGTATGTTAGTGTTTGTGTATGTGTTTGAGGGGAGTGGTCTGGACAGTGAGTTCATCCTTCATCCTAACGGCTGCTATCCCAACATACTCTACAAATGCATGTCATACATGCTTAACTTTGTTTCAGACTAATGCAATATGCATCAGGTTTGTCCCAATCCAATTTCATTAGTGAACCTCAATCTTTTTCATGGCCAGATATGAGCTGATATTGAGTCAAATAGTATTTCCTCTCCTCCCAGTGCACTCTGAAATATGCTCCCCAAATCAATGAGCAGCACTAATGAAATGCACAAATGTAATTTCACACTCATACAACTGGAGAATTTCCTCCAGTGCCTCTACATCACCATTAGAACCCTTGATTAATTATTCCCCATTCATCCACATTCAATCCCCGCTCAAGTTTCCCATTCAAAAAGAAAAAGTCTTAAAAACCGAGCCAAATCTACTTTTATTGTAATTCTCAGAGATACCAATCAATGACATCTCCCTCATCGCAGCCAAGCAGTCATTTAGCTGCCATCTCCTCTATCACGCCTCGTGTCGATTTTCCGTCACGCTGCAATGCGATAGCAATAGCCCTCTTCCTCCACGCTCTGCATCTGTTTCTACACAGACTGTGACTGGAATAGCAAGTAGGCTAGATATCTACCTCTGCTTCAGCCTGTGAACACATGTTAAGTGTTCCAAAAACACATGTGATCACATGGGATCTTATGTGAAGTTAATGTGATAATATGTGACAACATATAAAGCAACATAACATGAAACTATACATGTGAAATCATCCAATCACACGTGAAGTGTTCCAAAAACACGCTTTCACATGATTTCACATTTTCCTCATCCTAGCCATTCTCCAGATGTAATCCACCACCAGTGTTGTCACGTCATCAGGCCCGAATCCCATCGTTTCCCAGCTATGATATTTCAATTTGCGGGGCTCTCGTCCCTTTACGTGGGAATGGGTGACAAAAAGTGTGCCTAGCTGTAACAGAGAGCACTCTGCTGTCTTGAGGGCATGTGATTTAATTGCTCATTGATGTTAATGAGTCGTGTCATGTTCGTTATGAAGGTTTTATTAGGCATACTTATGCATTATTTAGATACTGTATGACTGCTAAATGGAGGACACATTTATTTGAGGTGTATTACGAAAGTTGTGTCTAATTATTATTACAAAGCCACAACACATTGAAATAATAAATAAGGAAAATATATTTAGAAATATGTATATTTAAAATAATATATATATATTTAAAAAATATATATGGGGGATTGGAAATGATGCAGACAATTACATTGATGGAAGCCACAATCTATCTACAATATTAAAGCTGATCTATCCACAAAAAAAAAACACAAAAAAAACATTGAAACTATACAGGTTTTACATAGTGTTGACGATGTATAGGAATGCCATTGGAATAAATAATGATGCACTGCAGTTGCAGTTGCTTATGACTGGGCAGAGTTAATAAGCGGTGGTGTGAACTATAGATCATTAAGCACAACATATACTGATATAATATCCCTGGGACCTGACTATGAAGATTAAAGCTATATGGGATAGAGTTGCCATGGCATCCGCGATGGATATGGGTGTGATCGAGGTGAACACAGAGCAATAAGGAGAGGCTGGAAAAATAATTATGTTTTTTATTGATTATGGGTTTTTGTGAAAAGATTATTGTTGTCTATCAACAATGACAAGCCACAACTTGAAACTAGGATTGAAAATTACTGAGGATATAAGCGAACGATATTGCCACTCCTATTTGCCATATGTTCAATCTAAGCCTACTGGAAAGTGTGTGTCCTCAGACCTGGAGGGCTGAGTGGCGCAGTGGTCTAAGGCACTGCATCGCAGTGCTAACTGTGCCACTAGAGATCCTGGTTCGAATCCAGGCTCTGTTGCAGCCGGCCGCGACCGGGAGACTCATGGGCGGTGCACAATTTGTCCAGGGTAGGGGAGGGAATGGCCGGCAGGGATGTAGCTCAATTGATAGAGCATGGCGTTTGCAACGCCAGGGTTGTGGGTTCGATTCCCACGGGGGGCCAGTATTAAAAAATAAAATAATCACTAACTGTAAGTCGCTCTGGATAAGAGCGTCTGCTAAATGACTAAAATGTAAATGTAAGCAAAAGTAATTCCGCTACCCAAAAATAGTAAATCCCCCTTTACTGGCTCAAATAGCTGACCAATCAGCCGGTTACCAACCATTAGTAAACTTTTGGAGAAAATTGTGTTTGACCAGATACAATGCTATTTTAACTGTAAACAAATTGACAACAGACTTTCAGCACGCTTATAGGGAAGGACATTCAACAAGCACCGCACTTACACAAATTACTGATGATTGGCTCAGAGAAATTGATGATAGAAAGATTGTGGGAGCTGTTTTGTTAGACTTCAGTGCGGCTTTTGACATTATCGATCATAGTCTGCTGATGGAAAAACGTATGTGTTACGGCTTTACACATTTTAGTCATTTAGCAGACGCTCTCATCCAGAGCAACTTACAGTTAGTGAGTGCATACATTTTCATACTGGCCCCCCGTGGGAAACGAACCCACAACCCTGGCGTTGCAAGCGTCATGCTCTACCAACTGAGATACAGGAGACCACGCTATATCGTGGATAAAGAGTTCTCGATGCCAAACAGTACTAATCAGTGTCTGATCGCGAGACGTATGTACAGGTACTTGAGAAGTGTTCTCCCTGTTTCATTGTTGTTTTCAGTCATAGTTAGCATTTCGTATGTTTGCTGTCAGCCTGTTTTTGGAGACCAATTTGCTCCTCCTTTAGTGACAAGTCCATTATTTTGTATCCTGGTTTTGGGACCACCAGTAAAGATCCTTGTTTCAACATCTCTGCCTACTGCCTACTGTCTATCCTGCACTGCACCTGGGTCACACTTCACACCAACCCTTACAGTACACCTGGATTTTGTATTGTAGATATGTGGTAGTAGAGTAGTGGCCTGAGGGAACACATTTAATGTGTTGTGAAAGTGTTATGAAATGTAATGTCAAGTAATATTTTAAATTGTATATAACTGCATAATTTTCCTGGAAGAGTAGTGTCTGCCTTGGCAGCAGCTAATGGGGATAAATACAAATAGAAAATACAAATTGGATTGGTTAGAGTTTGATCTCCATGGAGGGGTCTTCATGATTGGCTGGTAAATGGAAGTATATGAATAAAAACAATTGCCAGTAAGGCAATAGATAGGGGGGTGGTTCTACTAAGCGAACATATGGAATTGCTTTAGGATGGTAATTCCATTTAGGTATCAAAAAATATCTATAAAAATATATTTTATGAAACATTGAATTTGGCCTTACTGCTATTAGCCCATAGCAAAAATACATCAACAGGAATTTTGGCACTAAACTACTTCCATATACAGTGCATTCAGAACATTTTGTTATGTGACAGCCTTATTCTAAAATGGATAAAGTTAAATTTTTTCCTCATCAATCTGCACACCATACTGACAAAGCGAAAACAGGTTTTTTGAAATGTATAGAAAATAAAAAACAGAAATAAATTATTTACATACAGTACCAGTCAAAAGTTTGGACACAAATCAAATCAAATAAAATTGTATTTGCCACATGCACCGAATACAACAGGTGTAGACATTACCATGAAATGCTTACTTACAGCCCTTAACCAACAATGCATTTATTTCTTAATAAAAAAGTAAAATAAAACAACAACAACAAAAAAGTGTTGAGAAAAAAAGAGCAGAAGTCAAATAAAATAACAGTAGGGAGGCTATATACAGGGGGGTACCGGTGCAGAGTCAATGTGCGGGGGCACCGGCTAGTTGAGGTAGTTGAGGTAATACGTACATGTGGGTAGAGTTAAAGTGACTATGCATAAATAATTAACAGAGTAGCAGCAGCGTAAAAAGATGGGGTGGGGGTGGGGGTGGGGGTGCAGTGCAAATAGTCCGGGTAGCCATGACTAGATGTTCAGGAGTCTTATGGCTTGGGGGTAGAAGTTGTTGAGAAGCCTTTTTGACCTAGACTTGGCGCTCCTGTACCGCTTGCCGTCTTTCACAATTTTTATGGCCTTCCTTCCTCAAGTGCAGTCGAATAAACCATCAATGATGAAACTGGCTCTCATGAGGACCGCCACAGGAAGGGAAGACCCAGAGTTACCTCTGCTGCAGAGGATACGTTCATTAGAGTTACCTGCCTCAGAAATTGCAGCCCAAATAAATGCTACACAGAGTTCAAGTAACAGACACATCTCAACATCAACTGTTCAGAGGGGACTGTGTGAATCAGGCCTTCATGGTCGAATTGCTGCAAAGAAACCACTACTAAAGGACACCAATAATAAGAAGAGACTTGCTTGGGCCAAGAAACACAAGCAATGGAAATCTGTCCTTTGGGCTGGAGTTTTTTAGTTCCAACGGCCGTGTCTTTGTGAGATGCGGTGTGGGTGAACGGATGATCTCCGCATGTGTATTTCCCACCGTGAAGCATGGAAGAGGAGGTGTTATGGTGTGGGGGTGCTTTGCTGGTGACACTCTCTGTGATTTATTTAGAATTCAAGGCACACTTAACCAGCATGGCTACCACAGCATTCTGCAGCGATATGCCATCCCATCTGGTTTGGGCTTAGTGGGACTACCATTTGTTTTTCAACAGGACAATGAACCAACAAACCTCCAGGCTGTATAAGGGCTATTTTACCAAGAAGGAGAGTGATGGAGTGCTGCATCAGATGACCTGGCCTCCACAATCCCCCGACCTCAACCCAATTGAGTCGGACCGCAGAGTGAAGGAAAAGCAGCCAACAAGTGCTCAGCATATGTGGGAACTCCTTCAAGACTGTTGGAAAAGCATTCCAGGTGAAGCTGGTTGAGAGAATGCTAAGAGTGTGCAAAGCTGTCATCAAGGCAAAGGGTGGCTATTTGAAGAATCTCAAATATAACATTTATTTTGATTTGTTTAACACATTTCTGTTTACTACATGATTCCATGTGTTATTTCATAGTTTTGATGTCTTCACTATTATTCTACAATGTAGAAAATAGTAAAAAATAAAGAAAAACCCTTGAATGAGTATGTGTCCAAACTTTTGACTGGTACTGTAAGCATTTAGATCCTTTGCTATGAGACTCGAAATTGAGCTCAAGTGCGTCCTGTTTCCATTGATCATCCTTGAGATGTTTCTACAACTTGATTGGAGTCCACCTGTGGTAAATCCAATTGATTGGACATGATTTGGAAAGGCACACACCTGTCTATATAAGGTCCCACAGTTGACAGTGCATGTCAGAGCTAAAACCAAGCCATAAGGAATTGTCCGTAGATTTCCGAGACAGGATTGTGTCGAGGCACAGATCTGGGGAAGGGTACCAAATATTTCTGCAGCATTGAAGATCACCAAGAACACAGTGGCCTCCATCATTCTTAAATGGAAGAAGATTGGAAACACCAACACTCTTCCTACCACTGGCCGCTCAGCCAAACGGAGCAAGCATCACGTCCGGACGAAACCAGGCACCACTCATCACCTGGCCAATACCATCCCTTCGGTGATGGCAGCATCACGCTGTGGGGATATTTTTCAGCGGCAGGGACTGGGAGACTAGTGAGGATCGAGGGAAAGAACGGACCAATGTACAGAGAGATCCTTGATGAAAACCTGCTCCAGAGCGCTCAGAGCACTCATGACCTCAGACTGGGGCGAAGGTTCACCTTCTAACAGGACAACAACCCTAAGCACACAGCCAAGACAACGCAGGAGTGGCTTCAGGACAAGTCTCCGAATGTCCTTGAGTGGCCCAGCCAGAGCCCTGACTTGAACCTGATCGAACATCTCTGTAGAGACCTGAAAATTGCTGTGCAGCAACGCTCCCCATCCAACCTGCAGAGCTTGAGAGGATCTCAAATAAAATAAAATAAAATAAATATTACTTGTCACATGCGCCGAATACAACCGGTGTAGACCTTACAGTGAAATGCTTACTTACAAGCCCTTAACCAACAGTGCAGTTTTAAGAAAGAATAGCAAAAAAAATCACACAAAGAAATACAATATAAAATAATACGAAATAAAAGTAACAAATAATTAAAGAGCAGCAGTAAAAATAACAATAGCGATGCTATGTACAGGGGGTACCGGTACCGAGTCAATGTGCGGGGGCACTGGTTAGTCGAGGTAATTGAGGTAAAATGTACATGTAGGTAGAGTTATTAAAGTTACTATGAATAAATAATAAACACAGAGTAGCAGCAGCGTAAAAGAGGGGGTGGGGGCAATGCAAATTGTCTGGGTAGCCATTTGATTAGATGTTCAGGAGTCTTATGGCTTGGGGGTAGAAGCTGTTTAGAAGCAAGAATTTTATATAATAATTGAAATTGAAAAATTCGAAGTTTTGAATCCGACGTCGTTTTGCCTATCAATTCATAAACACTATGCCATGGAATCGGTACGTCAAAAATCTCTTCCCAACTATTTTGGAATCTATATGGGACGGCTGTCAATCCTTTGGTCCTTAAATGAAACTGGTATGTTTCAGTGTTACTTGCCTCGAAGCGAGCATAGAAGTAATTTAGCTTGTCTGGTAGGCTCGTGTCACTGGGCAGCTCGCGTCTGTGCTTCCCTTTGCAGAGAAGAATGGGAGAAACTACCCAAATACAGGTGTGCCAAGCTTGTGACTTCATACTCAAGATGACTCAAGGTGCAGACATCGAGTCTACAGGGTTAATAATCAATACATTGTATGAATAATGTTGATGATTGTGTGCCCAAAATATAATAGAATCCTATGGACGAAGAACCATATATGCGCATTTCCGTGGAGGCTCCTCAGAGGAGAAAGGGGAGGACCATCCTCCTCAGTGAATTTCAGAAAAATAATGGTCTACAGTAGCCTCAACAGCACTCTGTAGGATAGCGCCATGGTGTAGTCGGAGGACACCTAGTTTCCGTCCTCCTCTGGGTACATTGACTTCAATACAAAACCGAGGAGACTCATGGTTCTCACCCCCTTCCATAGACTTACACAGTAATTATGACAACTTCTGGAGGACGTCCTCCAACGTATCAGAACTCCTGCAGCATGAACTGACATGTTGTCCACCCAATCAAAGGATCAGAGAATGAATCTAGTACTGAAAGCATAAGCTACAGCTAGCTAACGCTGCAGTGCATACAATGTGGTGAGTAGTTGACTCAAAGAGAGAGAAAGACAATAGTTGTACAGTTTTGAACAAATTAATTTTAAAAAATGAAGGAGAAGCCAGAGAGAGAGAAAGAGAGAGAGAGAGAGAGAGAGAGAGAGAGAGAGAGAGAGAGAGAGAGAGAGAGAGAGAGAGAGAGAGAGAGATATGTTTCCTTGTATTTTTTTCACTTTCACTTACTCAGCTAGCAAATGCAGCTAGATAGTTTAGCCTACTCAAACATCCGGTTAGCTAGCTGGAACTCTTCCAAGTCAAGGTAAGCTTTTGGTTTTATTAATTAATTGCCACCAGGGCCCGCCGGTGTAACTACTAAACTGCTTGCTGACTGTACACTGTACTGCATGATTGTAGCGGGTTCTATTAGCTATATTGACTATAACATGAGCTAATATGGTTCCAATGATGTAGGCTGTGTGTAGAGTTTAGCGGTTATGATATGAAGGTTTGGCTTAGAAAGTTATTTTTGCCTGGTCACAGACAGCTGATGTGTTGTGCACTGACATCCACAAGCGAAGGGAAAAGGTGAGAGTAGGATAGCGCGTAGATGCGAGAAGGAATTATGCAACGAGCAAAGTGATCATGCTGTTTGAATGTGGCTACTATAAAAGTTAACTGTGTTTGCGTGTGATCAGAGGTGTATTCATTCCGCCGATTCTGTTGAAAAACGTTTCTTAAACAAGCAAACAGAACGAAACGTGGATAAACATACCTGAGTTTGTCCAATCAAAACTCTCGTTTGCAACTGTTGGACTAATGATTATACCCTAGATCAGCTAGATGCAGGCAAGAGTGTGCTAGGCGGTATTGAATGTGTCACTGTCTGTTAACCCTGTGCACCTACGTTATAAACGTTGATTCATAGGCCTCATGATGGTTATAGGGAAAATTTGAGTATCATGTGGTAGCATAAACCTATCGATGTTACATTGAGCTGGGTGAATGGAATATGAATGACAGTCATCGAATATGCTGTAATAGAAATAAGGCCATTCTCATTAAATTAATTCCTCCCTCATCTTAAATGGCACCGACAGCCACTGGTGTTTTTTGAAAAAAATTTGTGGACTTCATGAATCATTATAAAAACTATGGGAAAAAAATAGAAATATTTGACAATATCAGAATTGTTCAAAACTCACATGGTTCTTCGTTGCCAGGGCATTGGGCGGTAGTACTGGTGGCCATATTGGCATTTAATGTTATATGTATGAAGTCTTAGGGATTCATTGAGAACCAGATCTGGTTACAATCAGACATTTGCATGGCACTTTTGTTTTCTAACAAGTTCAACAATTCTCCACTGGAAACAACAGCAACTCCTCCCATCATAACAGTCTAATTACCAGCCTTTTCACAGACTTACACTGAACTTGAGATTCCTGACTCAATCTGTGTGAGTGTTGACGCTAGGCTAGTGAAAATGACAACTAGTGTGAATTGATTGAAAGAGCCACTTGATGCTTGATCCATAATTTAGCACCAACAGGACAGTAACAGCACAGCGCCAACCACTTCCATCCATTATTTACGGCGGCTGCATTACTGTTACATTACCTGGGATGAGAAATATGCCTGTTTAATGAGCTGCCACTGGGGTTCCAAATACGGCTGCTAGAATCCTGACTAGAACCAAGAAATTTGATCATATTACTCCAGTGCTAGCTTCCCTACACTGGCTTCCTGTTAAGGCAAGGGCTGATTTCAAGGTTTTACTGTTAACCTATAAAGCGTTACATGGGCTTGCTCCTACCTATCTTTCCGAGTTGGTCCTGCCGTACATACCAATACGTACGCTACGGTCACAAGACGCAGGCCTCCTAATTGTCCCTAGAATTTCTAAGCAAACAGCGGGAGGCAGGGCTTTCTCCTATAGATCTCCATTTTTATGGAACAGTCTGCCTACCCATGTGAGAGACGCAGACTCGGTCTCAACCTTTAAGTCTTTACTGAAGACTTATCTCTTCAGTAGGTCATATGATTGAGTGTAGTCTGGCCCAGGAGTGTGAAGGTGAACGGAAAGGCTCTGGAGCAACGAACAGCCCTTGCTGTCTCTGCCAGGCCGGTTCCCCTCTCTCCACTGGGGTTCTCTGCCTCTAACCCTGTTACAGGGGCTGAGTCACTGGCTTGCTGGTGCTCTTTCATGCCGTCCCTAGGAGGGGTGCGTCACTTGAGTGGGTTGAGTTACTGACGTGATCTTCCTGTCTGGGTTGGCGCCCCCCCTTGGTTTGTGCTGTGGTGGAGACCTCTGTGGGCTATACTCGGCCTTGTCTCAGGATTGTAAGTTGGTGGTTGAGGATATCCCTCTAGTGGTGCGGGGGCTGTGCTTTGGCAGAGTGGGTGGGGTTATATCCTTCCTGTTTGGCCCTGTCCGGGGGTTTCTTCGGATGGGGCCACAGTGTCTCCGGACCGCTCCTGTCTCAGCCTCCAGTATTTATGCTGCAGTAGTTTATGTGTCGGGGGGCTGGGGTTAGTTGGTTATACCTGGAGTACTTCTCCTGTCTTATCCAGTGTCCTGTGTGAATTTAAGTATGCTCTCTCTAATTCTCTCGTTCTCTCTTTCTCTCTGAGAACCTGAGCCCTAGGACCATACGTCAGGACTACCGGGCATGCTGACACCTTGCTGTCCCCAGTCCGCCTGGCCTTGCTGCTATTCCAGTTTCAACTGTTCTGCCTGCGGTTACGAAACCCCTACCTGTCCCAGACCTGCTGTTTTCAACTCTTAATGATCGGCTATGAAAAGCCAACTGAGAGACCTGAGCCCTAGGACCATACGTCGGGACTACCGGCCGTGGTGACTCCTTGCTGTCCCCAGTCCGCCTGGCCTTGCTGCTATTCCAGTTTCAACTGTTCTGCCTGCGGTTATGGAACCCCTACCTGTCCCAGACCTGCTGTTTTCAACTCTTAATGATCGGCTATGAAAAGCCAACTGAGATTTATTCCTGATTATTATTTGACCATGCTTGTCACTTATGAACATTTTTGAACATCTTGGCATGGTTCTGTTATAACTTCCACCCGGCACAGCCAGAAGAGGACTGGCCACCCCTCATAGCCTGGTTCCTCTCTAGGTTTCTTCCTAGGTTTTGGCCTTTCTAGGGAGTTTTTCCTAGCCACCGTGCTTCTACACCTGCATTACTAGCTGTTTGGGGTTTTAGGCTGGGTTTCTGTACAGCACTTCGAGATATTAGCTGATGTACGAAGGGCTATATAAAATAAAATTGATTGATTGATTGATCATGTTCACAGTGGAATATGGTTGAGTGTGTTGTGGAACTTGTTGGGTATCAACTGGCCCAGAGTCAGTTTAGGTGGGTATATGTTATGAAAGGGACCATTCACTCTCTCTAGCAATGTATTTACAACAAGACCAGTTTTTCTAACCTGGGCTCCAGTCTGTTTGCGTCATCATGACTAAAATGACACGGAGCTGTCATGATGGCACAAACAGAACTGAGACTAGGCTACAGTTTTTCTTGGAGACAAGCATAACAGAAACGTGAAATTAACTGTTGTTTTTACATATTGGCATTAGTAAAGCATTCCTCCAAAGGTGGCTAATGGTCAACAATGACATAGTCTTTTATATTTATCTCATGATGACCGTACTTTGTTGTTGAACTTTATTCGTATGACACCTTCAAATTAGGGGGCCATTAAATATAAAATGAAGGGGGGGGGGGGGGGGGGGGGGGGGGAACAGAGGGAGAGAGAGAAGGAAATAGATTCAAAGAGAAAAAGCTAATTTGTTTCTGCTTGGGGTGTGTTCACATTTGATGAAGTTCATTAGATCTGGTGGCCTGGAGACGTCCATGGGGGGCGGAGTAGGGGAAAATAGGCCAACACTAAGCAATGGGGATGTTTCAGTCTGTGAATGTCGGAAGAGTACGTGTCTCGCCGTTCGCTTTCCCTATACCGTTCACCCCCCCCCCCCCCCCCCCCCCCCCCCCCAAACATTGGAATGTTACAACCCAAATCAGATGGACTCAACATTTGTAATGTTGCATCTTGACACACATGTCCAGTTTATGGGATAAAATAATCGGCTTTTATTTTATCAATGAGTTGTATTGCCCCTTCTCGCCCACTTGCAGATTGCATATTTCATTACATTACATTACATATACGACAGCAATGGAATACCTGTATTATGGCTTCCCTACTTGAATTCATGTTTTTAGTAATAATCTGATTGATTCCAAGAATTCCAATTTGCCTTGGAATGTTCCCTCTCTTGAGCCTTGACTCCTGATCACATTATCATACACTGGCAATAAAACTCAGCCAGGTTGAACAGAATAACTAATACCCTGCCTTGGCCAAGGCAATCCTAACAGGTGGGCCTTACTCAATTTTCCATTCAGAGCTGGAGCAGTCACGTGAGTACCTGTCATCACAAATGCTGCTTGAAGTGGAATGTATTCCTCAATATCATGCTACTTGGGATTATGATTTCATTTAACGTTTTTGACAAAACAAATGAGTTTTAATTATGCCGTTTAATTTTGGGGCATTGCGTTTGCTCTCTGTTGATGTTGGTGACTTCTGGCACGTAGCATGAAGCGCTACATTTGGCTAACAGCTGAAGAGAGTCATAATCTGAGATTTGCAGTCTGAGGAGGAGGAAAGAGGAAGGCGTATGGACCATAGAGATCCTGTAATACAATATTTTCCTATATTTGATCAGTTTCTAGAAAGAATAAAAAAAATGTGTCATGTTACCTGGATGCCAAAACCATGGACACTATCATAATGCTATACACATCAGGCTGTGGGAGGATTGTGAATCCAAATTGGTTGCTTTTGGTTGCTAAAAAAGCTTAGCCTCTTCCATTTCACAGCCAAAATAGATCTGTAACATTAGTAGCAAGACACAGTAACAGAAGATTAAACGTAAGATGATCAATACCTGTCAAATAACAACTGAAATAGATTTTGTAACCATTTGTTAACGGTAAAACTAAATGTGATGCAAACTATTTGGGGGTGTCTATTGTTATTTTGAGGATTTACAAAGCAGCAGTGAGAGGTATAAAATACAGTTTTTAATTTGCATGTACAGTCATGTTGTGTCTGAAAATCATACAGTGTCATGTTCTGTACAGTAGGTGCATTATATTTTTACTCTTCTCCCATGGTAGCCCCCTGGCTAGTCCATGGTGCCGCTAATGCCAGGACAGGGCTACAGACGACCTATAGAGCTCTGGCCACACATAACGGATGTCCACATAGGAGGTGACAGTTGCTGGAGGAATGGCCCAGAGAAAGTGCACTTACATCTGCTTGTCCTCTTAAATATGTAATGGACCATCGCCAAGCAGCTTGGTGAGAAGGTGACAACAGTTGGTGCGATTAATCGCAAATGGAATAAACACAAAATAACTGTCAATCTCCCTCGGCCTGGGGCTCCATGCAAGATCTCACCTCGTGGAGTTGCAATGATCATGAGAACGGTGAGGAATCAGCCCAGAACTACACGGGAGGATCTTGTCAATGATCTCAAGGCAGCTGGGACCATAGTCACCAAGAAAACAATTGGTAACCCACTACGCCGTGAAGGACTGAAATCCTGCAGCGCCTGCAAGGTCCCCCTGCTCAAGAAAGCACATATACAGGCCCGTCTGAAGTTTGCCAATGAACATCTGAATGATTCAGAGGAGAACTGGGTGAAAGTGTTGTGGTCAGATGAGACCAAAATCGAGCTCTTTGGTATCAACTCAAATCGCCGTGTTTGGAGGAGGAGGAATGCTACCTATGACCCCAAGAACACCATCCCCACCGTCAAACATGGAGGTGGAAACATTATGCTTTGGGGGTGTTTTTCTGCTAAGGGGACAGGACAACTTCACCGCATCAAAGGGAGGATGGACGGGGCCATGTACCGTCAAATCTTGGGTGAGAACCTCCTTCCCTCAGCCAGGGCATTGAAAATGGGTCGTGGATGGGTATTCCAGCATGACAATGACCCAAAACACACGGCCAAGGCAACAATGAAGTGGCTTAAGAAGAAGCACATTAGTGTCCTGGAGTGGCCTAGCCAGTCTCCAGACCATAATCCCACAGAAAATCAGTGGAGGGAGCTGAAGGTTCGAGTTGCCAAACGTCAGCCTCGAAACCTTAATGACTTGGAGAAGATCTGCAAAGAGGAGTGGGACAAAATCCCTCCTGAGATATGTGCAAACCTGTTGGCCAACTACAAGAAACGTCTGACCTCTGTGATTGCCAACGAGGGTTTTGCCACCAAGTACTAAGTCATGTTTTGCAGAGGGGTCAAATACTTATTTCCCTCATTAAAATGCAAGTCAATTTATAACATTTTTGACATGATTTTTTCTGGATTTTCTTGTTGTTATTCTGTCTCTCACTGTTCAAATAAACCTACCATTAAAAGTATAGACTGATCATGTCTTTGTCAGTGGGCAAACATACAAAATCAGCAGGGGATCAAATACTTTTTTCCCTCACTGTAGGTCTCATACAGTAGACTATAAAATAACTACTAGATAAAAGCATAACTGTTTGATGCTGCTTCTCCCTGAGAGTTGCTCAGATTTATATATAATGCATGGTAAAAGCTAGGTGGCATGACTGCTAAAAGATCAAGGACTTCAGTTCAGACTAGAAACAATGCTACAGGAGCAGTGTTACCATACAGGAGTTTGTTTTCAAGTTATTACATTTTATTACATAATCTCCACAACGCCACGGAAATTAAAACTGAAATGAACTCGTCATCTAAGAAAACATAAAAAAACATCATAAAGCCATTTGAGAGGCCCTCTAACGGCGGAAGCCCCAAGTCATTAATTGTCCTAACTCCCAGGAGGGTGTTAAATCTCCCCTTTCATGTGCTCTTAAGCCAGCCTTTCAGCTCAGTAGACTTTACAGTGGTCATGTGAATAATTGTCTCAACCAAGTGACAAGCGACAAGAGACTTAGAACCCTTAATATAACAGTAAGGTGTAATCTATAACTTGGTAATACTTTACATTAATATTAAGAAGTGCTGTTTATGAGGGGTTGTGGTTTTATAAGTAGTTTATAGATCAACATTAGATGATATGTAGTTTATGAATCATTATTAAATAGTTATAACTCATTGTCGTTTTGGTGGTTGCCAAATAATAGGTTTATTTATGGCTGCATATATTACTGTTATTAAAAGATGAATAACATAAAGCACATTACCTCACTGTGAGGGTAATACTGTGAGAGCATACCCAAGTCCCCCTCAATATGGCTATTCTAGCTTTGTATAGTGAAATGTATTTTCCTTGTGTCAATACTTGAAATGTCATGACAATTTTGGGGCAATTTGATGTTTGTTTGAGGTTGATGCCTTTTCTGTTTAGGGGGTGGTTTTAGGGCTAAGGTTTGCATGGAGGAACTAAATGGCAAATATCAACAGAGAACCAAAATTCCATGATTTGCTAGTGGGCAAGACACACTGCACATACTGTAGCAGGCATAGCAGCATGTAGGCCAACCTATTACATGGCATTGTTCACTATTCATGCATTCAGACTTCATAATTGGAAACAGGAGGGTAAAATCATCTTGTTTCAAGCACTAGACTTCTATGTGCCCCTAGCTGAACTTCAGTAGCCTGGTCCCAGACCTGATTGTTCTGTATCCAACTCCTATGATCATTGTTATGGTTTAGCACGTTGTAGAACAATAGGAGTTGGCAACTGAAGTTCATCAGTCTGTGTGTTGTTTCAGAGAGGAAGCAATAAACAAGAAGAGCGTTAATGTGGAGCAGTACTCAGCCAAGCTGCTTTAGCGCCATGTTTTATTTATAACTTTACAAATTTGATGGAGAAGAGATGTGCCAGTTAGCCACCTTTGGGCAAGTGGGGCCGCAGCACTAGTAGTGTAATGAGTGCTTGGCTAAGTAATTATAGATAGACTAACGAGGCCTTCACCCAAATGAATGGGCATGGTGTACTAGAGACATGCATGTTCAGTCTGCATGCTAGTCTCTTTCAGTTGGGTGAGCATTGATGTAGATGGCCAACTGTATGATGTGACAGATTAGACTTCCAGGATGTAGAATTCACACAGAGAGCGCGAGTACACACCAAGTAATGGAGACTGATGGGTATTCAATCAAAACTGCTATCAAGAAATTTCCGGTAGTCATCCCACAGGTTGGAGACATCTTAGTCTCAAAGAGTCATGGACCATAGTGTGAAAACAGAATTCCTGAACCAATATTATATTACAGCCACCAATAGTGGTAACATCTTACCAGACAATAAAGACCTATTACTTTGTAGTACATGTAATTATTTATACACTCAAAAGGGTTCTTCGGCTGTCCCCATAGGAGAACCATTTTTGGTTCCAGGTAAAACCCTATTTGGTTCCAGGTAGAACCATTTTGTGTTCCATGTAGGAACCTCTGTGGAAAGGGTTATAAATGGAACCCAAAACGGTTCTACTTGGAACCAGCAGGGTTCTACCTGGAACCAACAAGGGTTCTTCAAAGGGTTCTCCAATGGGGACAGCCGAAAAACCCTTGTAAGTTCTAGATAGCACCTTTTTTTCTAAGAGTGTAGGTAAACGACCATCCATGACACTCAAACACGCACACAAACACGCACACAAACACGCACACAAACACACGCACACAGGCACTGTGTAAACTGTGTGTCCAGGATACCAAAATGTAATCTGCAGGAACAGAACAGAGAGCAGAGTGTCTGCGGGGATAATGACCAGACTTGGCCAGTGCCATGGCAACTGTTTCAGCTCTCCCTCATGCCTGTGAAGCACTGGTTTCCAGGAAGGAGAGGAAGGAGGGAAGAAAAGAAGAACAGAAATATTAAGCCCTTTCACATGCACAGAACCTGGGAAGGAGGGTAAAAATGAAGGAAGGAAGGAGGAGGAGGAGTGGAGGGAGAGAAATACACCTAAGAGCGGAGAGAACGATAGCATTTTTCTTCATCCAGTGAGCATTTGAATTAATATGGAAGAATGCTAATTCAAACCAACTGCTTGTAAACATCAATGTATTTATGCACTGCTATTTTCCACTCAAGCCTACACTTCTTCAACACTGGTGAAGGGGTGGGTTTGCATTATAAATGGCAACCCCTTTGCACAAAGCAAACAACATACCCTGCATGCATATGCACAAGAGAGGAATCTTCACATGCGTCAAATCCTGAAGCTTTTTTTTCTGCTGAAAGAATGAAAGCGCTTTGATTTTAATACAATAGCTGGACATGCATATAGTCTGGATACAATGGTTTTATTAGTGAAAGGGGACTGGCTCGAGGTCTCGTCTTCAATGTTCCCCTGAGCCATTTCGACAGGCATGGGAGAGCCTTACCGAGACGCCCGTGGACAAAGACAATCCTCCCTGTGCTTTCACAGTCAACGCTCACAGAGGCAGTTCACACCCCTCTGACTGTTTCGACAGCAGACAACACACACACACACACACACACACACACTTTAGTCAAGCAGACACTCAATGGACAAAGGAACAACTCAAACAGATGCTCTTTTATACCAAGAGTATTAATCAAATATTTTCTCAATCCTTTCTGCATAAGTACTTCACTGACACAGACAAATAAATTAGGGGAGGATTTCACTCAAATGGAATCTCAATCCAACCATCTAAATATAAAAGAGACTTATCTTTCCTTACCTTTCTGAGTCTGCCGCTCATCCATATCTTCTTCCATCTTGGCTATTCTAGATGTAGAGCAAATGATGAGACAATAGCTCAAAACCCTGTTTCTGTGTGTGTTGTCGGCTGAGGGATAGTCCACAGAAGTCTCTCTCTCTCTCTCTCTCTCTCTCTCTCCCTCGCTCTCTCTCTCTCTCTACTCCGTGTTGAGACCGCTTGTCAGCAGAGATTTAATTCAAGTGGTCGTGCCGTTGATTCATGAGAGAGATTAGTGCGTCTTCACAGAGCTGTCCATCGCAAGCCGCTCTGGCAAGTGCTGAAAACCTGGTCTCAACAGTGGCGAATACGGGGGGTGGTGAGGGAAAAAGGGTGGTCTCAGTATGCAGGAATAAGTATGTTTGCAGGAAGGGAGCTAGCAGGCGCAGGTGGTCAGAAAACAGAAAGCAGAGAGGTAATGGTAGAAACATCGGCTCAGCATTGAAAACATCCCTTTACCCTGAGACCAGGTGGAGGGGTGTTTCTTTAGAGGTGTCCAACACTCCCATACCCAGCCCACCCGCATAACCCCTATTTTTTCAGAGAGAATGGTTAAGCCTGTCAGCCCCCTTGGCTATGTTCTACTGCATTAAGTGAACCTTCTCCTTAACTGAAAAAAAATACTTTCAGAGATCCAAAACGGAATTCTCATAATCATATTCATCATCCAGGTTCAATTTGATTATCACAAGGAGTTGTCATGGGACCCTTATCATACATACTGAACAAAAATATAAACGCAACATGCAACAATTTCAACAATTTTACTGAGTTACAGTTCATATAAGGAAATCAGTCAATTGAAATAAATTCATTAGGCCCTAATCTATGGATTTCACATGACTGGGCAGGGGCGCAACCATGGGTGAGAATGGGAGGGCACAGGCCCACCCACTTGGGAGCCAGGACATATCGTGGACATAAGTCGGGGTGCCTTGTAAGGATCTGACGGCGAGCGAGTAAACTGCCTCTTCCATCAATCCTATTAGCCAACAAACAATCATTTGAATATAAATTGGACAACCTAAGATCAAGGTTATCCTACCAACAAGACATTAAAAACTGTAATATCTTATGTTTCACTGAGTCGTGGCTGAACGGCGACATGGACAACATACAGCTGGCGGGATATACGCTACATTAGCAGGATAGAACGGCTGACTCCGGTAAGACAAGGGGTGGCGGTCTGTGTATATTTGTAAACAACAGCTGGTGCATAAAATCTAATACTAAGGAAGTCTCAAGGTTTTGCTCGCCTGAGGTCGTGTATCTCATGATAAGCTGTAGACCACACTATTTAACAAGAGAGTTTTCGTCTATATTTTTCGTAGCTGTCTACTTACCACCACAAACCGATGCTGGCACTAAGATTGCACTCAATGAGCTGTATAAGGCCATAAGCAAACAGGAAAATGCTCATCCAGAGGCAGCGCTCCTAGTGGCCGGGAACTTTAATGCAGGGAAACTTAAATCTGCTCTACCTAATTTCTACCAGCATGTTAAATGTGCAACCAGAGGAAAATAACTCTAGACCACCTTTACTCCACACACAGAGACGCGTATAAAGCTCTCCCTCGCCCTCCATTTGGCAAATCTGACCATAACTTTTTCCTCCTGATTCCTGCTTATAAGCAAAAACTAAAGTAGGAAGCACTAGTGACTCGGTTAATAAGGAAGTGGTCAGATGAGGAAGATGCCGTAGGTACATACCCCTACCAGAAGCCATGGATTACAGGCAACATCCACACTGAGCTAAAGGGTAGAGCTGCCGCTTTCAAGGAGCAGGACTCTAACCAAGACGCTTATAAGAAATCCCGCTATACCCTCAAACGAACCATCAAACAGGCAAAGAGTCAATACAGGACTAAGATTGAATCGTACTACACCGGCTCCGACGCTCGTCGGATGTGGCAGGGCTTGCAAACTATTCAAAACTACAAAGGGAAGCACAGCCGCGAGCTGCCCAGTGACACAAGTCTACCAGATGAGCTAAATCACTCCTATGATCGCTTCGAGGCAAGCAACACTGAAGCACGCATGAGACCATCAGCTGTTCCGGATGACTATGTGATCATGCTCTCCGTAGCCGATGTGAGTAAGACTTTTAAGCAGTTCAACATTCACAAGGCCGCAGGGCCAGACGGATTACCAGGACGTGTACTCCGAGCATGCGCTGACCAACTAGCAAGTGTCTTCACCAACATTCATCAACATGTCCCTGACTGAGTCTGTAATACCAACATGTTTCAAGCAGACCACCATAGTCCCTGTTCCCAAGAACACTAAGATAACCTGCCTAAATGACTACCGACCCGTAGCACTCATGTCTGTAGCCATGAAGTGTTTTGAAAGGCTGGTCATGGCTCACATCAACACCATTATCCCAGGAACCCTAGACCCACTCTAATTTGCATACCGCCCCAACAGATCCAGAGATGATGCAATCTCTATTGCACTCCACACTGCCCTTTCCCACCTGGACAAGAGGAACACCTATGTGAGAATGCTATTAATTGACTACAGCTCAGCGTTCAACACCATAGTGCCCTCAAACCTCATCACTAAGCTAAGGACCCTGGGACTAAACACCTCCCTCTGTAACTGGATCCTGGACTTCCTGTCAGGCCGCCCCCAGGTGGTAAGGGTAGGTAACAACACATCTGCCACGCTGATCCTCAACACGGTGGCCCCTCAGGGATGCATGCTCAGTCCCCTCCTGTACTCCCTGTTCACCCATGACTGCATGAATGCATGGCCAGGCACGACTCGAACACCATCATTAAGTTTGCCGACGACACAACAGTGGTTGGCCTGATCACCGACAACGATGACATAGCCTATAGGGAGGAGGTCAGAGACCTGGCCGTGTTGTGCCAGGATAACAACCTCTGCCTCGACGTGATCAAGACAAATTAGGTTATTGTGGACTACAGGAAAAAAAGAGGCCTGAGCACGGGGCTGTAGTGGAACAGGTTGAGAGCTTCAAGTTCCTTGGTGTCCACATCACCAACAAACTATCATTGTCCAAACACACCAAGACAGTGAAGAGGGCACGACAAAGCCTTTTACCCCTCAGGAGACTGAAAATATTTGGCATGGGTCCACAGATCCTCAAAAAGTTATACAGCTGCACCATCGTTGCATCACTGTCTGTTATGGCAACTGCTCGGCCTCCGACTGCAAGGCACTACAGAGGGTAGTGCGTACGGCCCAGTACATCTCTGGGGCCAAGATTCCTGCCATCCAGGACCTCTATACCAGGCGGTGTCAGAGGAAGACCCTAAAAATTGTCAAAGACTCCAGCCACCCTAGTCATAGACTGTTCTCTCTGCTACCACACGGCAAGCAGTACCGGAGCGCCAAGTCTAGGTTCAAAAGGCTTCTAAACAGCTTCTGACCCCAAGCCATAAGACTCCTGAACAGCTAATCATGGCTACCCAGACTATTTACATTGTCCCCCCCAACCCCCTCTTTAACGCTGCTGCTACTTTGTTTATTATCTATGCATAGTCACTTTAACTCTACCCACATGTACATATTACCTCAATTACCTCGACTAACTGGTGCCCCCACACATTGACTCTGTTCCGGTAACCCCTGTATATAGCCTCGCTACTGTTGTTTTATTTTACTGCTGCTCTTTAATTATTTTTTACTTCTCAATTTTTTCCTTAACACTTTTTTATTTTCTTAAAAAATGCATTGTTGGTTAAGGGCTTGTAAGTAAGCATTTCACTGTAAGGTCTACACCTGTTGTATTCGGCGCATGTGGCAAATAAAATTTGATTTGATTTGATTCTTGATATGCCACACCTGTCAGTTGGATGGATTATCTTGGCAAAAGAGAAATGCTCACTAACAGGGATGTAAACAAATGTGTGCACAAAACGTGAGAGAAATAAGCTTTTTGTGCATATGCAAAATTCCTGGGATCTTTTATTTCAGCTCATGAAACATGGGACCAATTATTTCTGATCTTGAATTCAAACAATAGCCCAGGCCAATAAAGCGACACACAGATTGCACAATATTATGAGGAAATACAGACAGATTAGTCAGCAGTAGGAATTTGCTCTCCAAACTGTACATTTTCAGGTGATTGTATTTTGAAATTTGCAAAATGGAAAATGACAACCGCAACCAACCATAAAAATATAATCCACAGATGGTAGTTCCCATTCAAATCAGGACTGGCAGTCATTGGTAGTGTACCCATGAGTTTAAGTTTAACAGTTGAATTGCCAGGGTAAGAGGTTCCAAAACTCTTCTATGGATTATACGTCTATGGCCACAACACAACAAGCTGTTCTGTATTTGGCTCGCATGCTTCCCAAATTGCGGCCTTCCCGACTGTATGCATACCGGTAACTGCCAAAAGAAAGGAAGCACTTGAGTAAATGAGGGATACAACATATATGTTATGGTGTGGAGTGCATTTTTATGGCATGGTTTAAGTCCACTTGTAGAATCCATTCCAAGGCGCATTGAAGCTGTTCTGGCAGTTCGTGGTGGCCAACACCCTATTAAGACACTTTATGTTGGCGTTTGCCATTATTTTGACGTAGTACGCATTGCTGTTGCAAAGTAAAATGACAGTGTGTCTGAAGTGATCATCAAGGAATCGCTTGCCAAGCATTAATTATGCTAATTATTTTGTGACATCACATTACATCATAGGCGGAACTAGAAGTCTGTGCTGAAGATGATTCTTATCACTAGGGTGATAACAGATATATTACCACAGAGAGTCTCACCTGATACCAGTTTACTTCATTGCATGCATTTGAACTGAGAATTGTAGCCCAGTGTTTCTCAACCTCTGGCCCTATTCCCACTACGAGAGATGAAGGAGAGTCTGAGGAGCGGAGTGGCGAAATAGATTTTTACTTTTCAATTCACATTACATCCTTGCCTTACCTTTCGTTGTGGGCGGCAACGTGACATTCTTCGTCCGCAGCTCAAATTGACCGTAAATATCACAGTAGCCACTAGCCAGTAAACACAAACTATTTAACAATC